TGTTTTTTTTTTTTTTTTTTTTTTTAATAAAGCACAGGCTTTATAAGGTTGCCAAAATACTTCCTGGCTGGTTTTTAAAGTTGAAGTAGAAGCCAATTAAGAGTTTAAAATATTCCACAGAGGAAATTCTCAGACATTGAATTCCCAAGTTGACATCACAGAGGACTCAGTGTCTATGGACAGGAGCCCCATGAGTAAGGCTGGCTGGAGGGAGCTACTGGCTTGGGCAGACACTAACAATCATTTGCTCCAGTGGAGCCTCCAGCCACAGCTATCTCCTGCCTAAGTGTGTTCAGAGTTTCCTAATTTCCATATCCTATGCTTACTTCACATAGTTAGGTACACAGTCCTACACACAGAGACACACAGACACACAGATACACTCAACATCCTCTTAGGCCACCAAGGTCAGGAACTAGGTGGGGACTATGAAGAGCAGGATCTTTGGAACAGATAGCTACAGGTAGCTTTGGAACAGTGCTTCAACAGTGGATCCATTTCCAAAACTTCGGTTTCAGTTGTGACGCCTTTTTCCTCCTTCTCCTTTCTTGGCTATTTTGTTTTTGGCTTTTTTGAAATGACTAACAATCAGATCAATCATCATTCTTGGGCATTCTCGGCATCCCTGGGACCTGAGGGTGACTTCTGTACTGAGGGCATTGTTGGTCTGGTTTAGAGGCATTAGAACTTCCTTCATCCACCCCCACCCCCACCCCAGGGCAAGCACCCATGCTGACTTTGCTGCCTGATCCCAGAGCTTAGGGAAGCAGAACAGAGTGACTTTACAGAAAGTTGACAGTAATTTTGCCTGTTTAATCTTTCAAAAAAAGTTCTCTTTATTTTATTTTATTTTATTTTTTTCTTCTTAATGCTTTTACTTTGATACATCGGGGAAAAAACTTACAGGTTCACATGGAAAACATAAGACATGATCACAGGGAAGCTAACCTAATCAGCAAAAACTGATGCCTGCCTGTCAGCTAATGTTGAAGCTGAAGTTTCAGGAGTTTGACAGGCTACAGGGCTGAAAGGAACAGATTAGTATTCTTCTTCTTCCTCACTCTCTCCTTCAACAGAATCCACACCAACCTCCTCATAATCCTTCTCCAGGGCAGCCGCGTCCTCACGGGCCTCAGAGAACTCCCCTTCCTCCATGCCCTCACCCACATACCAGTGCACAAAGGCACGCTTGGCATACATCAGATCAAACTTGTGGTTGAGACGGGCCCAGGCGTCAGCAATGGCTGTGGTGTTGCTCAGCATGCCCACAGCTTGCTGTACCTTGGCCAGGTCCCCACCAGGTACCACAGTGGGAGGCTGGTAATTGATGCCGACCTTGAAGCCAGTGGGGCACCAATCCACAAAGTGGATGCTACGCTTGGTCTTGATGGTGGCAATGGCAGCATTGACATCTTTGGGAACCACATCACCACGGTACAACAGGCAGCAAGCCATGTATTTACCATGACGAGGGTCGCATTTCACCACCTGGTTGGCTGGCTCAAAGCAGGCATTGGTGAGCTCTGCTACTGTAAGCTGCTCATGGTAGGCTTTCTCAGGAGAGATGATAGGGGCATATGTGGCCACAGGGAAGTGGATTCGGGGGTAGGGCACCAGGTTGGTCTGGAATTGAGTCAGGTTTACATTCAGGGCTCCATCAAATCTCAGGGAAGCAGTGATGGAAGACACAATCTGGCTAATAAGGCGGTTAAGGTTAGTGTAGGTTGGGTACTCGATATCGAGGTTTCTATGAAAGATGTCATAGATGGCCTCATTGTCTACCAAGAAGGCACAATCAGAGTGCTCCAGGGTGGTGTGAGTAGTGAGGATGGAATTATAGGGCTCAACGACAGCAGTAGAACCTGGGGGGCTGGGTAGATGGAGAACTCCAGCTTGGACTTCTTTTCGTATTCAACAGAGAGACGTTCCATCAGCAGGGAGGTGAACCCAGAGCCAGTTCCCCCACCAAAGCTGCGGAAAACCAAGAAGCCCTGAAGACCTGTGCACTGCTCAGCCAGCTTGCGAATTCGGTACAAGACAGGGTCAATGATCTCCTTGCCAATGGTGTAGTGCCCACGGGCAGTTATTGGCAGCATCTTCCTTGCCTGTGATGAGCTGCTCAGGGTGGAAGAGCTGGCGGTAGGCGCCAGTGCGAACTTCATCAATGACTGTAGGTTCCAGGTCTACAAACACTGCCCTGGGCACATGCTTGCCAGCACCTGTCTCACTGAAGAAGGTGTTGAAGGGGTCATCTCCTCCTCCAATGGTCTTGTCACTTGGCATCTGGCCATCAGGCTGGATGCCATGTTCCAGTCAGTAGAGCTCCCAGCAAGCATTGCCAATCTGAACACCAGCCTGGCCAATGTGGACGGAGATGCACTCACGCATATTTGGTCCTTAAAGAGGTCGGCGGAAACGAAGGGAGGGCGACAGAGCTCTCCCACCAACAGGCTGCCAAGGAGTCTGGAGGAGAAGTCAAATCTCTTTATTTTATGTGCATGAATGTTTTGCCTGCGTGTGTGTACACAGGCTGTGTGGTAGAAAAAGAAAAAGGTGCTTGTAGAGATTTGTTGCCTTAGTTTCTTTTCCTGTTGCTGTGATAAAATACCCGGACAAAAGCTCACAGCTCCAGATTACAGTTCATCATAGTGGGGGAAGCCACAATGGAGCTGGTCACATGACATCCATAATCAGGAACAGAGAGCAAGGAATGCATGCATGCTGCTGCTTGGCTCCCTCTAGCCACTAACACTGTCCAGGATCCCAGTCAGGAAATGGCCCCATTCACAGGGACCAGATCTTCCCACCTCGATAGTGCAATCAATATAGTCCTCCAGAAGCATGCCCAGGGAGCCATCTCCAGGTGATTCCAGATTCTGTCAAGCTGACTACCATAGCCATCAGATCTGTGGAACCCTATCTGAGGTCTGTGGTTGGTACAGTGTGCCAGCACTGTCCCTCTCCTCAGCCTCTGGGTATGAGAGGTCCTTGGCTGAAGAGCAAATGATTGTTAGTGTCCTTCCAGCCTCCATCCTGGCCAGTAGCTCCCTCCAGTCAGTCAGTGGTAGATGTGATGATTAGCTGATGGGCCAGGAGACTTTCCTAAGAATGGATTCCCTCAGCATTGCCCCTTAGGCACTGAGTGAACCACCTGCAGCCCTTTGAGATTCTTGGGTCCACCAGCAGCCTCTTCCAGACTGTTATTATAAATTGTTCCTTTAAAAAATGGTATTAGATGTATGTGTATAGTCAGAGGACAAGTTGCAGAGTCAGTCCTCTCCTTCTGTAATGTGGTTCCCAGAATCAAACTCAGGTCATCAGACTTGGTGGCAAGCACCTTTATGCACTGAGCCATCTTACTGACCCAAATGTTCCCTTTTAAACAAGTGGGAATTATGTCTTGTGCAGAGCCTGTGGGGGCATCCTGAAAGCTTTCTTCTGTATGGCTCCTTTTCTCTGGGATTGAACATTCACTTATAAAGGCCTCTGCAGAGAGCTGTAGCTGGCTGACCGGATGGACTGAGCAGAGCATTCCAGGTGTGGCATTAAGCACCCCAACCCCTGTTCCCTTTTAACTTTGTGTTTCCCCTCATTCTGTACATTTCAAAGTGAGGCCCAAGTTCCCTTGTGTGCTTAATTCCTCTCTTTATACTACAGTCATTCTGAGCTATAGCTCATTTGAGTTATAAGAATTCACTTTATGAGTAATTTAATTTTCTATCTTAACATGTGAGGCATTTATGTTTTCAGGCACCAATTTAGATTTTTCATGTCTCAAGCAGTAGAGCCCAGAGAAAAGGGAGTCACTGTGTGGTCACTGTCCCAGTGTCAAATGTAGCTACTTCAGAGAACGCTTGGGTTGCAAAGTTATAGATGGCAATAACATCTGTCTTTTAAAAAATTTTACTTTTGGGTCTGGAGAGATGGCTCAGCAGTTAAGAACACTGGTTGTTCTTCCAGAAGACCCAGGTTCGAATCCCAGCACTCACATGGCAGCCAACAACTGCCCCTAACTCTAGTTCCAGGGGATCCGACGGCCTCTTCTGTCCTCTGCAGGCATTGCACGACACAGGTGTACTTACCTACATGCAAGTAATATACGTATACACATAAAATAAGATTAATAAATAAAATATAAAAAATTTACTTTTATTTTATGTGTATGAATGTTTTGCCAGCATGTGTGTAAGTACATCCATACATTCAATGCCCATGGAAGTCTGAAGAGGGCGTCAGATCCTCTGGAACTGGCGTTATGGTTATTGTTAGCTACTATGTGAGTACTGGGAATTGAACCTTGGTCCTCTGGAAGAACAGCCAAGTGTCCTTAACCGCTGAGTCATCTCTCCAGCCCAACCTCTGTTTGTCTCTTATGCTTTGTTTGCACTTCTCTTTGGCTTGGAGGTCCAAAGCATAAACATGTAACAATCATAGGTCAAAACAAAAAACACAAAACCAAGGCTCAGAGAGGCTAAGCGCCTTGCTCAGGAGCGCATAGAAAATACTGATGCCAGAATTCAATCCCAAGTCTCTCTCCAGCCACACACTTATTAATATGATACTTAGAGCTTAATGTGTATTATATATCACCATACTAGAATCAGAAGAACGAGATTCAAATGATGTGTAGATGAACCTGAACCCCAACGCTCTAAGGAGACTGGTGTGCTTCATGTCAGCATAAAGGTATGAAATACTTGAAAGTCAGTGAAGACCAGGAGGAAATTATAACCAATATCTGAAAAGGGAGTCTGTATTTAACTCTGGCAATGCATTTATTGGGTATTCCTGGCACAGATCGAACTGTTTAACTGTTGACATCCTTCTCTCCACCTGCTTAAGCAAGGAGCTCATGGCTAAAGATGGACGATACATGGTGTGGTCAGCTGAGAACAGTTAATGGGATTTCATACCAGTTGTTCATTGCTTGTTTATTTCTAAGATCCTGTCTTTTATAATTGATCATGCTGACAAAAAGAAAAACAAGACACACACACCAGTGTTACAAAACCTTGTATTAATCATTCCCTTCACTTTCAATATAACGGTTGATATGAAATATAGCCACGATTCTTAGTTCCATGGGAGGAAATGAGTAATAAATACATTGTAGCAAGTTTAGACCACAAGGGTGTTTTCACTGGTAACAACATTTGAAAACTGTACACTTGCAAAGAACAGCATCTTCAAACATTAGTATGTCTGTAAATCAGTAAAGCTTTTACATATAACAAACATGCTCTTTCCATATATGACAAATTTAAAAAATATGCATTGCTTGGCAACATGAACTAGGCAAAAATATTTCTTTGTTCACTAACTTTATACAGGAAAACAGGACAAAAGGCATGCATGTACAATACGGATGCCTGCACGGGGCATGCAACGAAAGAAAGCTTTTTAAAAGGCAGCTTACATTAGGCATAAATACATGAGGGTTATATATTAATAAGGGAGGAAGTCTTCTATCTGACATTATTAACATTCCTGTTTTCTTCCTATTCCTCCCAGAGGAATACACATTCACCTTTAAGTCAAGATAAAGGAATTACAAAAAAATAAAACTCACTTTGCAAACATCTCTGATGACTTGTGAAAAGAAAAAGAAAAAAAAACCCAACATTAGTGTTATACAGCTCCATGTGCAAATCATCCTTCTGCAGATTCTGCTTGTAACAGGGACAGGCTGAGTGAGAGCCCTGGGAGGGGCACGTCCCCCACCCAGGCTGCAGCGGAGGGGGCAATGGATGGGGTCCACTTTCCTCCCCTCGCTGTCCTTCTAGCTACAGGCCCAGAAATTGAGCGCAGCCCTCAGCCCAGGCTCTGGGGTACACATATCTCCAAACCTGGCCCCAGCAGTAAGCTACAAGAGGCGCAGAAGAATAAAAGACCCAGAGACTCCCATTCTGTAAAAGGCAGCCGACGACACCTCAAAAGAAAACCTGGTTTCCCTCAGTGTCACTTTAGAGGAATGGGAGCTGGGGCCCAGTTGCAGCTCTGATCCTGAGTACCAGAAAGGGACTCTCAATTCAACCCAGGATCTGAGAGCTTGGTGCAAACAGCAGCCCTCGGCAGGCAGACCCAGAAGCATCTCCTTTGCTTGCTGGCTCGTTTTAAAAAGTGAAACTCAAAAGCATGTGGGGAAAAAAACAAAACAAAACACAAAAACTATCAGCAGCAATGTTTCATGTCTTGTACACAGTTCATGTATTTCTTCCTACTGTTTTCTGGTAAGAAAACACTATGAGTAAAAAGCACCAATATAAAACATACATGATAATGATATTGCAGAACGACACTGTGCCTGGGACAGCACAGAGACACACTGCGAAAATCAGTATGAGAGGGAAACCTATGTAGTGAAATAGATTTTACTCTGAGTTTTAAACCGTTTTCTATTTAATATAAAACAGCTGCGTTGGGGGGGCGTCAATGGGTAAATACAAAAAAAGGCACTGCCGCTTTATTACTAAAGATCTGACCACAGCCTCAGGCATGCAACTGTTTGATTCTTTTATAAATAAAATTCTTTTGCTTTAGGGGTTTTTAAATTGAGCTGTATGCCTGCAGTCAACACAGGACTCAAAACAAGGTGGGGAGAGGCTCCTAAACTTCATCAGAACACTCAACTTAAAAAAAATTAAAACACTAATATAGTAAAACACAACTAAGTAGATAAATCTATAGTCAATGAAAAATAAGCTTTTCTTATCTTTTTCTTTTTTACAAAAAGAATTATGTTGTTATTAATAACAGACTTTATCATGGTTACCAGCCATAGCGAGTTAATAAGTAACATATCCAAAATAATATCTCTAATAATCAGATAACCATTGTTTCTATATTCAATGAAGGAATAAATAGAAATTCAGCTTTGCAAATACTCTACGGTTTTCTTCCTTTTAAAGGATTCACGCTAACGTGATTGTGTTCACAACCTGGTTTCTGAGTATCCGAGTCTTTATGGATGCGTGTTTCACAGCAGATCCGAATGCCTTCCTTTTCTTCTATCATTCGAGGAATTCCATCGTTCTTCTCCTCTCTGTTAACCTCCTCAGCATCCTTCAAACACATCCTCAAACCCTCTGGCCTTACCTCTGGCCTTAATATTTTGACCTACCTAGTCTTTCCTGCCTTACACATGACTGTCCATCCCAGCACATTCCCCAGTGTTGAGCTTGTTTAGAAAAGGGACGTGAGGGATGAACGTTAATGGCACTTGGTTAAAAAAAAAAAAATCAACTAAAAATGCTGTCTCCTCCTCTATGTGGATTTGCATCTTTAGAGCCTGGTCACCCAGAGGGCCTGAACCTTCTTTTCCTGTTGTTTAAAGGTGTTGCATGAAATAGTGCATTCAGGCTTTCCATGCTTACTAGAAGCTCTTTCTGGTTAAGGTACTGTCACTTTTTGGACTGTAAAAGGAGTTCAAAAACTCTGTTGTAGCTATCATCCAAGGCTGGGCTGAGTGTACATTTTTAATATTGAAAGTAAAAGTTGTGTGGATTTTTGTTAAGGCCTTTAATGTCTGCATGTACTTTAAGTTAAAAAAAACATAGCAAGATGTAGGAATTTTCATGGTCTGATTCTTTTAATTTTGACTTGAAATTCCTTTTTTTTTGAATAAATACTCATTGAATAACCAGGTCTTATACTATCTCCATGATGATGCTTTTGGTTGAGCACCATCCCATCACTGACACAACCCAATTTTCCAGTGCAAAGCACAATTCCTTTTTGATTTCCTCTAGCGCCTTCCATTGCATCGAATTCTGAAATGTTGTCTTTCTTGCCCTTAAGAAATAGGGCTATTACTCTGTGATACCATAATTAATCTCTCACTGTGCAATGAGTGCGTGCATGCATGCATGTGTGTTTGTGTGTGTGGCTGGATAAACCAGCCCATAATACAGTAAATCTCTGACTTACACCTGTGTAGCTAGAACCACTTTTTCCATTATGAATTTAACCTTTCCTGCTGCTTTCACAGCCTCCCTTGAATGATGGGGCTGGACCATGAAGGCCTACTGTCTCTCTGCATCCTCTCTAACACTTGCTGACGGGCCCTTTACACACCTCTTTGGACCATTCTTCTTTTCTTTGGCAGACCTGAATGAAAGGGTATACAGCCAGGCTCAGATTGTTGCAAAATCTCCACTGCAAATGTTTTGAGCTCATCATCTGGGCAGTAGAGCTCATGCAAAGGAAAAACATCTATCCTTGCCTTTCTTCCTCTATAGGGACTTGTACCCACTTATGTGTCTGTGCAGTAAGACCAGGATGATAGGATAAAGCCCATGGAGAAGATGGGAAGCAAGAGAGGCCTTTGGACAAAATGCAAATTCAGCCCAGAAAGAGGCTGCAAGGTCTATTTAGTATCTCTGGGTGACCTATGAGCAAATCCATAACTGATCGCATGGTGCCATCATCCTTGTGTCCTTGCCCTGCCTAGTGCTATGCTTGTCCTGGCCACATCCTGTCCTTCCAATTCACCTACATGCTCCTCCCACCTCATAGTGAAAGACCTATAGCTGAGGCCTACTTGACTGCATCCATCTTCCAAGAAGCGGAGCTTGCTTTGCAGTTGCTTTTAAAAGACAACCCTGCTGCTATTATAAAAATAGATGAAACAAAATGAATCCATAACAATAATCAGTCCTTTACAAAAACCATAGTATGAAGAAGTTCTACCAAAACTCTACACATTGTGTACCCTTTAAAATTCTTATGTAAACAATACACAAATCAAAGTTTATCTGAAAATTTGCTAGAGGGAGTTTCTCCTCTTGCCCCTGTTGCCATGTGGCCCTCTCCTGTGGCTGTTTCAAGCAGGGGCCGCAGGGAAATCCAGTCAGGGGAGACACCAACAGGCCAGCCGCCATCTTGCTTTGGTCACTTGTGTCCTTTGTCTTCTGTGGCCTGGCAACAAGGCCAGCCTCTCGAGAAGGCTCCCCAGGGCAGGGCTTCCACCTCTCTCCTGTGTGTCTCTTGCATCTCTCTCCTAGCTGTTCTCTTTCCCCACCCCCTTTCCATCCAGGAAGCCAGTAGCATCCCTCCACCCCCCCCAGTCCCACGTTTCCCTTGAGTTCCCTCCCCACTCTGCATACCATACCATCCCATGACAGAAACAAATGACAACATAACCAACCCCAGGTCTACTGATATGTTTACAAGGATGACCTACGCTCTCACAAAATCAAAATGGGCGAGGGACCAGGGGGAAAAGGCTGCAAGGTATCCTGGAAGATTCTATGCAACCCTGAAGATGGCTGACACTGGGCCCGCAGCAGTCGATTTCACGGCCAGCGCGGTCACTCTCATCTTCAGCTTCTAGATTGTGGAGGTCCGGTCAACCCCGTCTGAAAAACAGGAAGCACACAAAAGTGAGCAAAACAAGTTCCAGTTTAGCCCATTCACAGCTATGCTACGAACTCGAGCCTCCCAGTCTCTGAGGAGAGATGAAGGCTTCATTCACCTACCCATTCATTCGCTCACTCCTCTCACATACACATACCTAACATCTGGGGAGTAGCTTTGCTTTTGCCTGGAAGCTAAGATGAAACCATCCTCACCCTTCAGGTACTCACATTCCAGGTAGGAGACAGATAAACAAACTGATAATGATGCTACGAAAACTGTACTCTGACGATGTCAGGGGTGCACATGTAGGCACCAGAAGTTTTACAGATGTTATGCCGGATTGTCATTAAATGGCATCCCAGTGCCTTGAGAAAGTTAATTTGTATGAAGTCTCTGGATCTGTGACAGTGAGGCTGGCAAGGCTTAGGGAGAGGAGAAGGAAGAGCCGGGGTGCGGGGTGTGAACCCCAGAACCTCTGGGAATGGCCTGTGTGCTATTCTCATAGCATGATCCTCCAGGCTCTGCTGGTAGAGCCTCCATTCTGTAGCTCCCAGAGTCTTTCTACAGGAGGACACCAGCCAGGCTTGGTGGCTCGTCTTCCTGAGTACCTCAGGTCACACAGCACAAGCAAAGCCAGAGAGCCTGATGAAGCCTTGAAGAAAGATTCACAACCCTCCACCTGGGTGTCCTCACAGGTTCTGTTTGAAGCCTCAGGGAGAGATGGGAAAGGAAGGCCAAGAGAAAAGTGGCTAAGGGGAGCAGCAGGAAGGCAGCAGTTGCCAAGGAGACAGAAGAGCAAAGACGTCAGCACAAAAGGACAGGCACCTGAGACTTGGCACTGTGGACCACAGTGGATGGTCGTCTGGGATACAGATGACCTGATGCCCTCCTATTGCATTCCTCAGTCGTGGCACAGGAACTCCTTCTCTCTCTCTTTCTCCCCCTTTTTTAAATTTCTCTTTCTGTCTAACTTCTTTTTTTCTCTTTTTCTTTCTCAGTTTTTGTGCACATATGTGCAAGTCTGTGTGTGCATGTGTGTATGGAGGCTAAAGGTCAACATCAGGTGTCTTCTCATTCTCCACCTTATTTTATGAGACAAAGTCTCTCCCTGAACCTGGAGCTCACCTAGTTGGCTAGACTGACTAGCCAGAGAGTTTCAGGGATCTGCCTGGCTTCATTTCCCCAGTGTTTGGGTTACAGGCACACATTCCCGTCCTTGGCTTGTACGTGGGCTCTGGGAATCTGAACTCGGGCCCTGCCCTCATGCTTGTGTGACAAACGCTTCACCCACAGCATTATCTCTCCACTCCCAGGAAAACGCCTTTTACTCTGCTTTCCTTTCCTTGTCTTCCATGAAATGACTCAATTTATTGGCATGTTGTCCTCAGCAAGGTCATCTTCCTTGGCACCTGGAAAGGGCTGGCCCACAGAGACACTGTCATAGTAGGAGGGCACACTGCCACTGTACTGAGCTAGGCCATCCTGAGCTTGATTTGCATCTTCTGCCCATGAAACTGCTTAGGAGGCATCCCACCAGAGGGGATTCTTGAGAAAACAACACCACCACCACCACAGCAATAAAAAAGGCTTAAGAGATTAACAAGATGAAAACATTAGGGAAAACCCACCAGTTCTAAGAGGTATTCTGTGAAAATAGAACAGGCTAAAAGAAAAAAAAAATCTTTTCAATGAAAGCTTCCCTTGAATAAAGAGTATTTGGCATTCTTGCTACTAATGATGATAATGGTAGTACTTAACAGTTTGATAAGAGCTTCCAAAATGCCAGCTATCTGAGATACATCAGATCATAGGAGAAAAAGTCAGTTCCCTTGCAGACTCTCAAAGGCAGAGAAACATGGTACTGGGCTCCCTGTGTGGCGTAGCCTGTGGCTGCGGGGCAGGAGCATGCTGGGTTGGACATTTCCTACCAGTGGAATCACATGCTCTGCAGTCTTTTATGCCTGGTTTGTTTCACTTGGCATAATGCTTTCAAGTTCATCCCTGCTCTATGTAGGGACACCTCTTCCCCTTTTAATGTTGACTGTTATTCATTCACTAAATGGCTACGTATGGTTTGTGGATCCATATTTGGGTGGTTTCCCATCACTCATTAGGGAGCTGCTGACAGCAGGGAACAGGGACTGGTGGGAACTCCCAAAGATGCTGGGAAACTTTTGGGATCAGTGTGATGGGAGTGATTTGGGACAGTGATTTGCAAATAGGGTTTCCTGGAAGCCCAGGGGAGGTCTCACAGGGGCTGGATCTTTTCTGCTTGGTCCAAAGCCCTATGATGTCAAATGGCCCTGGGGGCCTTCAGCTCCCTCCTAGCACTGAGGTCAGCTAGGTGGAGTTCCAGGCCTCTACTCTGCTCCTTGCAGACCATTTGTTTACCGTTTGGTTTCAGAATAAGATTGTACTTGTACACAATCTTTAGTATACAGAGACTGAATATCTAAAAGCTGGGGGTCTGGAAGACAAAGCTCTCTAAGAAGTAGCTGATAGTAGCCTCTCTGCTCATAGCAATGTACAGCTAGGCCTTAGGTGTGGCAATGACCCAGATCTCAGGTGACCCATCTCTAGGCAGAAAAGCCCATCTGGGCACAAGAGGGCTGTCAGGAAGGCTCATGGCAGCCTCATGATGATCTGTGAGGCAGCAACTCTCAGGAGGAAGAGCTGGATAGGAAGGATGGTGGGAAGGAGTAGACATCTAGTTTCTTCTATGTCTGTCAACTCTCCACAAAAGTGCAGGTCTGGAAAGAGCTCAGGTCCAAGAGAGGGCTGAAGCCCTCAAGACCAGAGCAGCAGAGGGGCTGCTGGCCAGACCAATGAGGGTTGGGAGGCAGCTGCCTTAGGAAGCATGTCCCTGGCTCCAGTGTGGGCATGCCAGTGTATCTAACCTGTGCCTGTCACATGGTGAGGGACAGACAGCTTAGGGCTCTGGGTGTCATGCAAGCCCTTTGCAACAGGGAGATATAAAAACAAGCGGGGATCTTTGTTTCAAAAATTCTATTTTTAGAGTACATTGGGATATGCTTGGCCTGGATCGGTGGATCCAGTGCCGAGAAGGAACTCATCCAATGCTGTGGGGGATGCTCCTGCTGAAAGCCACGTCTTATGTGAGCCTGATGCTTCCAGCATTTGGCTGGGACCACTGTTGTGGGTTCCAATGTGCACTGAGTAGTGAAGCTTGGGGTAGCGGGATGGTGCTGGTTTCTCTGGCCTCCAGTTCCCTGAAAGGGAGGAGCAGAACACTTGGGCCTGTGGAAGAAAAAGGTCCAGTAACACCCCAAGGCTGCTCTCTCCCTGTCCCCTGCCAGGATTCCTTGTTTCCTTACTTGTCCCCCTGGGCTGCTATCAGCATGAAGACAGCAGCTGGCCATGTCTTAGACATGGCTGAGGAGGATGTACTCACCTCCCAGGGCATGCTCGGTCATACTGAGACACAAGGACTCCAGCCTGTTGTTGATGTCAGGTTCGGTCACGGGAAGCTGGAATTCTACAGAAGGACAAAAGGTTATGTTGGTGACTAGGACTCTCAGGACAAGGACAAAGCATGTAGGATGCCATCTGGTTCCAGGATGAGGGTCTGATATGCCTTCCCAGAGGACTCAGGGGGACCTTCAGGCTGGCATGAAGAGTAGCCAACCTCTGAGGTCTGTTAGATGCAGAACCCATTGTGGACACTGGCGGCTGGAAGCAAACTGGTGACTAAAAATAGTTGGTCACAGTCACAGGCTATCACTTCTGCTCAGACTCCTGTAAAGACTTTCCCATGATAGTCCATGGTCAGCAAGGCCCACATGATTACCCTCTTCTTATGCCCTGCCTGCAAACTCTCCCCTTCCTGTTCTATGCTAAACCCTCTTCTACCCCAGGCCTTACAATGCTCTTCTGATGGGAATACCCGCCCACACATGCTCTCCTACCTCCCCTAGTTTAATGATGGTGGTGTTGGAGCAGGACTCAGCACCACTCTCTGTGTTTTGAACCCTACCTGTGCATTTCTGCTTCATGGGATGAGCAGGTTGGAAACCCCAGTCCCATGTGTGCCACTGCTGGGTGGGGGGACTATGTTGATACTTCAGCTGTGGCAGCTACTTCACTGTCCAATGAACCCAGTTCCCAGGGGAGGGGGTTTAAAATCACCCATAAAGACCAGGCAGCAAATGCAGGGCTAGGATATGAGCCCTGCTTCACTCCTGAGTCTGTGTATTCCTTGCCTACATACAGCAACTGCCACAACTGCCACCATTCTCAGTCCCTAAGCACTTTAGTAAAAGGAGCTGAGATCCCCACTCCATGGCAAAGGGTCAGCTCCCACACTGCCGGATTCCACCATCTGGGTCCTCTCCATCTCCTCAGGCTCACTACCGCCTCTCCCCCAGTGGGAGGCAGCCCCTAAGGGCCTCTTTTTCTTTCTGACTGGGGCCTTTATTTTCAGTACTCTTTCCTCCCACATCCCATGGAATCTTGGACTGCCTTAAACTACCTGGAAGCACTTTGCAGAGAGTGCTTTGCTATCTCTGACTTTTTCCAAACACCCAGCCCTGGCTTTTGCTACCAGCAGCTAAGAATGGTGATATCCTATGGAGAGGGGCAGAAAAGTCCCAGAGGGGGTGCTGGCATGGGGCCTGTTCCAAGTCTCATTACTGCCCCTACCTTCCGCTGTGACCTTGGGGAGCTGTTCCTTTCCTTGGGCCTTAGTTCTACATGCCACATGGGAGAAGGGTGGTATGGGCTAACCTTTAGGCCATTTTCCTGCTCTTTCACTCATTCATCAGAAGGCATATGGGTGGTTGGTGGTTTGGTGGGAGAGGAAGTTGAAGCCAGTGGCTAAACCAAAACATTTGTTTCCCTAATTCGTTATACATTAGGATCTTTTACAAGCAGGTGAGATAGTTCTGTGCTTAAAGGTGCTTGCCACAGAAGTTTGGTGGTCTGAGTTGGCTCCACGGAACACACATAAAGGTGGAAGAGGAGAATGGACTCCACAAAATTGTCCTCTGACTTCCACATGCACGCTATGGCATGTGCACCCACATATACATCATGCACATACAAACACATACAAACCCACGATAGTATTTGTTTTTTAAAAATATCTTTTGCAATTTGAGTTCCTTATGATCAGTTAATTTAGAGGCAGATGTCACTTCTGCTATTTTAAATTCTCAGTGAAGGCAGGAAAAACCGATCAATAGAAAAAGTACCATTATGGTCTTTCTATTGCAAGTTCCAGCACCCGACAGTTTGGAACACACCTGGGCCAACCCTTGAGTGGATGGAGGCTCATAAGGCTACCAGGGAAGTGGGGAGCCAGAGAAGGTGGCAGGAGTTTCTCCAGGCCCCACCCACCCCACGAGTTGCTGCTAAGAGGAGGGTTGGGGCAATTAGACCATCTCAGGGGGAAAAGTATTTTTGTATTTTCATCCATTCATGTGAAAATCATATGCATGCAAAAATTAGCAGCCTTTGGGGTGTGAAACCTATAAAATAGAAATACAACTTTATATATAGCTAGTTAGCAAATATGAAAAAAACAAACCTCAGCAATTATAGCCGTCCATATGCTCACTGTAAGATTGAGTTTACTCTCTAATGCTCCCCTTTAAACAAACACTGTGGAGAGATTTGGATAAATAAAGATGCTCGACATTTGGAGAGAAGTGTCTCAGCTGCGGGATTTCTTGCCAAGACGCAGCAAAATGCCATTTTCCAAGCCCAGGATTGTGTGTTCCAGGAAGGGGGCTGAGAAACACAGGGCTCTCGGCTCCAGAATCTCCAAGCCGCTGTGGCTGCTCTTTTAGGTGGGAAGTTAGTCTGCTTGCTTTTTCGTCCCTAGCTCTTCACTCTGACACTCTGGAGAGCTGTGAACCTACCACTCTTAAGAGTGGCACTGAAAAATTCCAAGTCTTGGAGAAGCCCATATGTTCACACTGCAGAGTTTCTTAATAGTGTGACTTTTTAATTGTGTATTTGATGAAAAACAGTCCTGTGGCATCTTGAGGCACCCATGAGAGAGGCTGATTGGGTAGATTAAAGCTTCTGAGTCAGGGTTAGAACCCATTAGTCACGTGTGACTTGGTGAGCAGAGCCCTCATCAAAACCCCAAGGGACAGTCATGCACCTGCTGACCTATGGGTCTGTGTTAAACACCAAGGTCTTTTTGGGGTCCTGCTAAATCAGAGGACTCATCCCACTCATCAGACCCTGAGGTAATAGGGAAGACAGAGCTACAGGTCCTCAGTCAGGCAAAAGGCAGGGCCCTCTTGAACCTTCTCTGTTGTTATCCAAAGGATAACATCTCTGAGCATAGGTTGAGCTGTTCAAATCTGAAAATTCAGAATCTGCAACCTTTTATGAGACTACCAATATTTTTTGGTACATTTCAGATTAGGGTACAGTTTATATACATATTCCTGAATTTGAAAAACTTCTGAAACGCTTTGCTCCTAAGCACTTTGGATAATGAATATTCAGCTTGTACTAGGAATTCTTTTCTTTACCATTAGATCATTCTAGGGTTTGGTGAGCATTATGAGTGTCAAGGTGGACTTGAGATTTTAAAAAAAAGATTTTTTTAAAATTTATGTGCATATATATGTCTGTGTGAATGTATGCCACAAGTGTGTGGGTGCTTATGGAGGCCAGAAGAAAAGTGTAAGATTCCTTGGAGCTGGAGTTACAGGTGGTTGTGAGCTGCCTGATGTGAGTTCTGGGAACTGAATTTGGGTCTCACAGAAGAGCAGCAAGTGCTCTTAACCACTGAACAATCTCTCTAACCCTGACTTGAGACTTCTTAATTGTGCCTTTTCAGAATTCCCACATATACAGAGTAATGGAATCTCGGACCCAGAGCCAAAAAGATTCTGGAAGAGAACAGCCCATCCCTTACAGCAGTACTGCTGTGGGGTTCACTTCAAGATCCTAGGTGTCTTATCCCAGGCAGACACTGGCCATTGGACTGAGTGTCATGGCATCAGAGGTGCAATCTTGCAGCACCATCTGTGAGGTGTGATTTCTTCACGATGCTAGAATATGTAACAGACTGGGTCAGTCTGGGAAACCTGGATAGCCCCACCTTGCTGCTGACCACTGAGCCTGCTCTGCTGGACAGCTGGAAAAGCATTGCAGTTGGTTATGTGAGGAACAGTTCTGCTGAAGGCAGGAAAGCAGGGAAGACAGGCTGATGCTGAAGGGGTTGAATAAGGAAGGAAGGGGGATGAAGGATGGGGGCAGACCAAGAAGAAACAGGGAGGGTGGTAAAAAGGAAAAGACCTGGCCTGGGCAGGGAAACAAAGAGCCAGTGGTGAGGGCAAGCAGATTATTCAGAAATGGTTGTGGCCAGTGGGAGAGCCCAAGTAATGAACTACATCTGAGGCTGCTGTGGAGAACAGACTTTGCTCTGGTGGCCTCTTGACCATACCTAGATGTGCAGAAGTGTGTGTTACGGCAGATCTCTGGGGCCCGCACTTGTATGAAAAGTGCTGGGGGGAAATCGATATGTGATGATATAGCATAGTACCATTTTGCTCAAGTGGACTCTTAGAGGTGGGAAGGGTGTCTGGCTCAGGTGGGCTCTTGACTGGGATAGAATTGGCTCATGGACCAACTTCCCTACCCACTGTCCTGGGTTCCCAGCTAGGTTGTTTTCCTAAGTTTATCAGAATGCAGGGGTGGGCAAATATTTACCAGATACTCTAAGTGGACTCTTGTTCTGGTCTCTGTCTCTACATGGAAGCCTGTTTCACTCCCCCTAGTGGACTCTGGGCACTGGGAACACTCTCCCCGTCTCTGCTCTTTCTAAAGACATTCTCTGAAAGGAATCAGGCAATCACATTGAGGCAGAAATGAACAATGGCCCAGAGTGTTGTAGCCCCAAGGCCTACAGCATTCTGAGGATGGGAGACTCCAATCAAGAGTCAGTATGTAGGAGAGGTTTGATGCACAGGACAGATGTCACATAGTGAAATGTTGCCACCAAAGGGGCCACCTCATCCATCTGTACACAGCTAGTCTGGTCCAAGGGTGCTTTGCATGTGACTTTATGTAAGTGAAGGATGCCATTTCCTCTGGTCCAAGGGTGCTTTGCATGTGACTTTATGTAAGTGAAGGATGCCATTTCCTCTGGTCCAAGGGTGCTTTGCATGTGACTTTATGTAAGTGAAGGATGCCATTTCCAGAATGCAGGTGCCAGGTCTGTGCAACCTGTGGTTTTCTTTGATGTCTGATCTGAGATTCTCTGTCCTTTTCTGTTAGTCTTCCTGAGGAGAAAGGAGGCTTTGTGGCTCTAAGCATCATGCCAGAGCTACTCTAAGGTCCTCTCTGACAGAACTGCAGGGGCGACTGAGCCTGGCTCAGCAGGAACAGAACTGCTTCCAAAAAGAAGTATCATTCTTCAAGCTATTTCCAAGTTTGCTTTCCAAATGGGAAATCAGCCTGCCCCTGGGAGCAACGTGGCATTCTTGCTGAGTGCCACATGTGTTTTGAGCTCCAGTTCCCTTCAGCATCTCAGACCTCATCCTCCTCCCTCTAGGAGCCCCAGCTGAGTGTTTCTACTTATCACAGAGACCAGTGAGATACAGCAGTCATCTGCTGGTCCTGCTGCAGGTCCCAAGACACGCCTGAAGCATGTCCAGGTGGAAACAAAGCAGAGAGTTACCAGAGATAGCATCCAAGTGCCCCATCTATGCGGACCAGGAAAGAGCGATGCACCTTGCAGAACCCGGCAAGTGACTGATTAGGAGACTCAACCTGCAGGCTACTTCCAGTCCTCAGTCTTCTCCACATTCTTTGGAGATATTTAGTCTTTCATTGTAATAGACTCATTTTGAAGTTCACAGAATCAATACTTTCTTAAGAAAACGCTGTAGTCTTCAAGATTTGGAAACGACATCAAGTAGATGCTTTGAAGACATCTACAAGCCAGGAGGAAAACTTTACCTTGGAACATAAGTATTTGGTTTGGTGGCTCGCTATCTCTGGTTCATTTTGTGCTCACAGTTACTCCTATTTGTATAAAGACGAAAGATACCTTTTCTCTTCCTGATACAATCCTTGGAGTCCAGTCTTAGCATCTGACCATAAGCCCATAGATGTCTCCATGGCTGACCATGTTGGGCTCCTCTGAGTTTTTAAAAGGCCCACTTCTAGAGCTCACCTCTTGGGGTTGAGCCTCATCTGGCCTGGTTTGGAGGTGAGAGGTGTTCTTGTGAAGAAAGCTGCCTCCCAAGAAGCAAGAAAGGTTCTCACAGTCACTGCTGGCCTTGACATTTGATTGACAGGAGGATGCTCTGGAAGCCTGAACAAAAGCTGAAGAGTAGTGCCCTTAAGCAGAGACTTTCCAAAGTCTCCTTTCTCTTCAGTGAGGGATCCTTGACTGTGCCCTGCCTCAACCCTTCATGACTACATTCCGAGGGAGCCAGTTGGAAGGTTCTGAGTGTGTGGGGCAGAACCTGGAGTGCCCCCTTAGACAGCTCACCAGCTTATCTGCAATCAGGAAATTTGAAGTAGCATTGTTCCTGGGCTTTGGCCATTATGAGAAATGCTGTAATTTCTTAAGGCTTGACTGGAGGTGGGTTTGTAATGTTCAGGAAAGTCTGTCTTTCTTTCCTTCTTTCTCTTTCTTTCTTTCTTTCTCTCCCTTTCTTTCTCTTTCTTTCTTTTCTTTCTTTCTTTCTTTCTTTCTTTCTTTCTTTCTTTCCTTCTTTCTTCTCTTCCAAAGAGTTTTAGAGCTCTAAGTCCAGTATGTAAAACATTTAATTACAGATTTGCAGGAGCATTGAAAGTAAATTCTTCCAAGCAGTTGCTTCTGGAACATGGGGCAATGGACTTGGGGTGAGGATGGGGTTCCCTGAAGGCAGGGTGTATCTCTGGGTTGTGTTTGGAAGGGGTATCTAGACAGGTGTAGTGATGACTTATGTGGCTTTGTATTACTCTGGAGTCTAGAGTAACAAGAGAAGGGGTTCAAGATCCTTTGGCTGTGTGGAAGTCAGGTAGCTTGTTTTAGGACATATGGTGATTGAGATTGTGTAGGCCCTTCTGGCCTTGAATTTGTTGCACTTTAGTCAAGTAAAGGAAAGATGGCTGGTCCAACAGTCATTGCTTTCTAAGGCAATCCCAAAATGGTACCAGTGATCAAGTGTTCTCTTTATTGCCTCACTCTCTTCACACATTCTCTCATTCACTCCCCCTCCATGTCTCTCTGTCCCCCCCCCAGAACTCCACCAGTGATATCTCTGATTTAATCAATTTAGAAATCTAGAAATATGACAAGCATCAAAAATATCCCTGTCAGATTGCACCTGACTCTGGGGCTCCGGATGCTGGCTCCTAGCCAGGCCGCCACTATTCATGCTGGCAAGGCACAGTTTAAAAAAGGAAAGACATCCACCAGCTCCAAAGAATGTGTGGTGACAGTTGAGGCTCAGCACTTTCCGCCTGGGTCACCGGGGCATCTATTCTGGCATCCTGCCTCCCCCCCGCCCATGTCAGGGGAGAAGAAAGGGAGGGATCCTGTGCCAGGCAGGCCCTACCTGGTTGCTGGAACATCAGCATGTTCTGTGGGGAAGTGTGCACAGGCAGTGAGCGGGTCCTCTGGACGGAGCTGTGGGTGCGGCTGGGCATGCTATTGCTGCCCCCCGGGTTGGCAAACCAGAGGTTCTAGGGAGAGACACATGGTGGGGGTTGTTACCCAAGACACCCTGGGAAGGCATGGGGAAGGGAGCCCCAGCTGGAACCCAGGGGGCAGATGTCCCAGGAAAGTTCTGTAAAGTGGCCTGTAGGCCAGTGCCACCCTTCCATGTCTTTACAGAGACAGGGTTTAGATTCATTCATTCCTCATTCCCAGGCCTTACTCTAAGCTTCAGCTTTCCTGGGCTACCTTTTCTCTCATCTCCAAAACTCTCTTACTCCATTTGTTGTTTTTTATTTCCTGTCACATTTCTAAAAACTGGGGAAATAAATGTTTGCAACAGAGAACACAAATGAGTTCAGAGATTCTATTTGATTTTTTTTCTGAGATTCCTAAAATTTACTCCACAAAGAGGCGGAGAAAAAAGACTGTGCTGGCAACATGCTGGGCCCACTGCTGCTCATGTGTCCCATGGTGACCTCCCCTTGAAGTGAGGGGGGTGGGCCTTCTCATGCACACCTTTCTCTTAGGGGCTGGTTTTTCCCCTCCTCTCTCCTGCAGTGGCCTTTCTGTTTTGAGGCCAATCCCTCCTCTCTCAGGGTCTAATGAGAACCCAAGCCTCAGACCTGCTTGTGTGTCTCCAATCTCAGGGCCAACCTACGTAGCCCCTTGGGGCTGAGTGAACATGGGTGAAAGGTAGGACTGGGGCCATGGGACAGAGAGGTCACTGTCAATCTCACAGCAAGGGGCAGCCTGGCCTTGACTGGCTGGAAATCTGTCAACCCTCCCTCTTAACAATCTCTCAAACCTAATCCTGTGGATTCTCTATCACAGCTGGGACCGTGACAAAAGAGCTATTTATCACAGATAAAAAGGCAAAGGAAGCCTCTCAATGCTCAAGGTCCTCTGGAACTCAGACTTGCAGGTGAGGTGATGAAGTGTGCTGGGGTGGGCCAAAGATCAAGACAAAGAAGAAACAACTCTTGTGTGTCTGTCTAAAAGGGCCTCATATGTAGGGTCCCTGAAACTGTTGTGGCACTGGGCATCCCTAGCAACAGCCATGGTTTGCTTTGTCTCCAGGGAAACGACACAAACAGTGCTGGTTACCTGGGAGGCTTGGGTTCAGCTGTCCCTCTGTTAAGCCCTGGGAGCTTCTTTTTCTACCTTGAGGGGGTCATCTGGGGGAGGGAACACCCTGAAGCCTCAGGCCCTGGACTTGGCCAACCTCCCTGCTTCCCAGAGTAGAACAAACCTGTCTTCCTTGTTTCATGATGGTGGGGTTGGCGGTGGTATGGCGCTGGTTGGAGCTGACAAATCCACTGGTACCCAAGAGGCCAAGGCGAGCAGAAGGGACATTCCGGGAGGGGATCTGGTATTGGCGTGGGTTCCGTCTGCCCATGCCTCCACCCACAGAGCCGGCTGTTGGGAGGGAGTTGGACTGCCCAAAGCCGCGGCTGTGAGAACAAAGAGAAAGGGCCCAGAGCTTCAGACATGCTTTGCCCATCCATAGCCCAGGTGGCCAGTGGGGTGCCTCCTGAAGGCTGACAGTTAAGAGGTTTGGGAGGTGGGGGGTGGGTTTGTGCTGGTGCTGGGGTATGACTGAAATGGCAGCTAACATCTGAGAGCAACAGCACAGGCTGGATGCTGGGATTTACACACTATTCAACCCATGCAACAACCCTATGAAGTAGGTGCCCTATCCCCTTACAGATGGAGAAGTTAGCTTGAAAATTTTGCCATGGCTACACAGCCAGCAGGGGGTAGCCAACCACAATATGAGCACGGAAGGTGAATCCCACACCTTCTACTCCAGGCTTGTCCAACCTGTGGGCCTATGTACAAGGGCATGGTTCCTTTTTAAGAAGCCACACAGTAAGAAAGTGACAGAACCAGATCAGAACTGGTGCTCCTTGCATCATGCCACAGTCTGTTTCTCATCAGTTTTCTGTGTGGTCTTGGAGACAGGAACCCCATTAAAATATAAGCTCTGTAAGAAAAAGGACAGGCTGCGTCTTCCTCGGTTCTGTGTTTCCTATGCCCGAGTGAGCTCATGGCACGGTAAATGCTGGTTGAATACATGAATGAATGAACGAATGAGTGAATCTCGGTCATCATGATACTTCTCCAAATGGGAGGCCAGTCTGGTTTGGGCTGACTCCAGCATTGAGCATAGGACCGTGAGATGGTGATATGTACAAGCGCCCTGGACATAGGACAGGACCTGTTCCCATTCCACAGGCCCTCCCTGCAAGGTGGGCCTCAGAAGGCTGAAAAAGCTGCTCTCTTCTCTGGGTCCACTCAGGATACCGCACTCACTAGGCTGAGTGAGCTCAGAGCTGAAGAACGCATCTCCTCCACACCAGCCCCAGGTCTGGGACGTTGCACAGTAGCCAGCGGGTTCAGGAACCAGCACATTCCTTCCAAGAGAGTCATTCAGCTTTATTCAGGGTTGGGTGGACATGCGTTACCCAAGAGCCACTAGATGGAGCTGCAGTGGGGAGTTTTCAACCAGACCTGAGAGGAGACTCCGCAGACAGGCTGACGTAGTTTAACCGGTGGGGGGCGAGGGGGACTGCAAAACAGTCATTTCCTGAGCCTAGAGTTGTCCGTGTGTGAGAATGCTTCTGCTTTCCCCAGAATTCCTAAATTTCCTAGGGAGAGAAGGGGAAGGGAAGAGAATTCCAGGCCGACTGTCTTCTGTTCCAGGCTTTTGTGGCCAAGAAAAGTTGTCTAGACTCCAGTCAGAAGAGAGGGATACTGGGTTCTGGGTGACTGTCTATCTCACCGCCCTCTTCTTCTTCTTTTTTTTTTGTCCTCACAAATGTCTATGATTTTTTTTTTAAATTTGAAAATTAGAGTGAGGAAAGCTAAGGCTGACTCCGTGCCATTAGAAAGAGTCCCTTTTGGGGGAAGGACAGTGAAGTGACATAAAAAATAAGGAGCGAGTAGGCATTTTTGTTTTCAGCCGTGAAAAATGAGTTCTCTGGTTTCTGGTTTCTGGAGTCAGAATTTTGACCACCTGGTAGATGATTCAGTATTTTGCTAAGATTTTTTTCTTCCTTATTTAGTGTGGATAGCTTTTTCTCACTTTCCTTTTTTCATATGCAAAACAGCAGTCAATGAGTGTTACTAAAATGATTTATGCTTCCAGGAAAGCAAGATTTTTTTTTCCCTTTGAGACAGAGCCTCACTATGTAGCACAAACTGGCTTCAAACTCTTGATGCTTGTACCTCAGCCACCCAAGTGCTGGGATTACAGGTGTGTGACACTAAGTCTGGCAAGACTGTATTTTCTAGCAATAGAAAATACAGGTAGAGGGTACTGTTTTGGAGCAGTCTCTGGTGAAATGAGGAACCTTGGAATTCCTAAGAGTTAGGACTCAGCTGTCTGGGAGTGGGTAGGAAAGTCCAGAACACTCTGGAAATAAGGGGTGGTGGGGACAGAATTGGTGAGGCCATCCTTTTCCTGATTGGGGCCGGGGGGGGCTTCTATTGTGTCCTCAGTAGGTTATTACAAAGCCAGATTTGTTGAGAGTTCCTGCTGTTGGCAAATGGAATGAACTCTCAGGTTACTTGAGATCACTCAGCTTAAGGAAATAATCCTACTTTCTGGGGAGAAGACTAAGAGCAAGTTTCTCCACCCTCCTTTGAGCATCTCTGCCCCAGCTTCTCTGCTTTTTGAAGTCTAACTGATCTCCTTTCCTTGAAATGTATGGACAGTCTTTGATAAAAATAACATTGATAAGAAACAATTAATTTGGGATGTGTGTGATAATTTAAACAGGGGCTTGCCTACAGTTACCTTTGTAGGGGAGAAACAGTTCTTCAAAATAAATTAATAGTATAAAAATATCCCAGAGGCAATATGTAGAACAGAGTATGTTTCATGGGTTTAGTAATATCCTTTTGAACATCCGCAATTGGTGAATGAATTCATCTTATCTACTTGATAAAAGAGGCCCATTAGGGCTCCAACCTGGTAACACTCAGGCTGGCCCTGCAAAAAATAATAGTAACAGTCTGGAGAGGTCGAGGTAGCCTGTGCAGGGCTCTCTGATGGATCAAGGACAAACAAGGCTGACGGAGGCAGGGGATGAGTCCTTTGTGAGAAGGAGCGGGGAGCTTAAAAGTCCTGTCTCCAACTTCAACTTCTACTTCTGAATGCCGTTTTTCTACTTGAAACTTGTCTCCCGAGGACCTGGTACCGCCAGCAGGATCTGGAGCCTCCTTCCTCACATGGGAGAAGCATCACTGCCGGTGGAAGCAGAGTATTTCGATGTGGCACAAAAAGTTGAGCAGCAGCCTTTCCTTGCTTTCAGGTCACTGAACATCCTCAGAGCAGGAGTGGTCTGCAGTTCTTCAGGGCTGGCAACCCTAGAGGGCTGGGGCCTGGTGATCTGGTAGTAGATTTACAGGAGTGTCCTTTCCTTTCTGTGCATCAGTCTGAGATCAGGACAGTGGCCTGGCTCCACATGGTAAGGAGTGCTAATCTGGGGCTGGCATTGGCTTGCTTGGTTCAAATCCTGGGCACCTCTGCCTATCAACTCATCTACAAATTAAGGTTAATAATAGCAGCTCTACCTCACATGGTTGTTGCAAGGATGAAATGTATTAATACCTCTCTAGACTAATACCACTGCTATGACAACATAAATTGAGTTACAGACGCTCACGTTCAGCTCTTCCTCTGGGAATGGTCTCCCTCACAGGCTTTTCCCATCCCAAAGTGCTTGGATACCACTTGGTACATAGTATGTGCTAAATAAATGTTTAACAACACTGTTACATGTTGTGTAGTAACATTTTAATTTTTAAATAAATCTTTCATGAAGACATTTCACAAACTCTGGCCTGACCTTATCTCTCTTAAATAATAAGGCACGTGTATGTAAATGAATGCTCCCAAATTTAGCAATACAGCATCTACTTATGCACTGAGAGAGGAAATGAACTCAGAATGTTTAGATGCGAGTGAAGAAGTGATTGTGTAGGTTAAAATGTAGCATAGATGTTGGCATTATCGCTTTATTTCCAACTCCTATCATTCTAGCGTGAGTCAGCCCTCCTCCCTGCCTCAATTTCTCAGGTAAACTTTCACTTCAGTTCAGCTTTCCTTTGCAATCGGATTTCTCCATTTAAAGCCATATGAAGGTAACAGGTTCTGAAGTGTGACCAGGCTTATTTTGAACTGCATCCAAGAAGCCAAAGTACTATGAAAAATCAAGAATGGTACCACTCCACCATTAGACTGCAGCTCAGACCAAAATAGATAAGCACTGGGTGCTTCACCCTGCCACCAACTATAATTAGCTTGTCTGCAGCTAGAAGGGAGAAAAACATTACAGTAGCACTTCAGGTGCTGATAGAAGACCCCACTTTCATCTTTTCAGAGCCCCCGCCCCCACCTTGCCCGCCAGCCACCTGTGTTTTGCTGGCATTCATTAAATCATATGAGCTCTGGCTTCCCACACCCATCTAGACTAATACTACGGTTATGACAACATAAATTGGGTTACAGACGCTCACGTTCAGCTCTTCCTCTGGGAATGGTCTCCCTTACAGCCTTTTCCCATCCCAACCTGTTTAAGTGATGCGATTTGGTACTCGCCACAGGGCATCCTCATGGGAGGAGTGATGCCCTGAAATATTCGCGCCTGGAACGGAGGTGGGCAGCAAGGCACCAGGGAAGCACCACGCATTACCAAGAACGACATCCCAACGTACTTTCTTTGCTGTCGATATCCCGATATGTCTAGAAGGGTTTTCCGAGGGAAAGACCGAAAGAGCTTCTGCACCTGCTGTTTCCATGACAACAATCTTTTTTTCTGCGTCTCTGTAAATGCCTGCAAAAACAAACAGGACTTTTAAATGGGTGACGCAACCTGGCATTAGAGGGAGAAACATACAATTAATAGAGGAAAACGAGTTCTACAGTTGCCTTTTCGTCACCTGTTTCCAACCTGGTTCAAACAGCAGTTAAATTGGAGCCACCTGTGCTGAAGAGTCAAGCGATTTGGCATTGGAAACACCTGGCCTATGCATTGAGCTTTTGACAACTTTGTTTTTGGTTGCATTTCTGTGGGTCTATACCCATCTTAAGACCCTTCTTCCAACTCTGCTGCGGACCCTGTTTGTTAACCAAGAATGAACTGTAAAATTGATTGTTGGATATTCTAGCTTTTCAGACTTCCTGCATTTTCGTAATCAATGGAAATTCTAAACCACTTCAAAAATCAATTGGCTTGATGGTGTGGGGTCACTCTGGAGTCGTCTGCAGGGCCTCAGGGAAAGAACTTAGGCATTTTTTGGAGAAATTTCTAGTTAAACAGCTCTATGCCCTATGAAAACCTCCAGTACACCAGTCCTGACCTTAACCTTGGCTGTCATTTAGGAAAAACGGTAGACCTGGTACCTGTACAAAACCGTACTGATGTTTTACCTACTGTCCATAACAGGTGTTTATATCATCTATATCACACAGCACACATCTGCTCCACACAGCCCACATCTATACCACAAGCACACATATGCATCATACAGCACACATCTGTATCACACTGAACACATCCTCTGTATCACACAGCCCACATCTGTATCATATGTATTACACAGCACACATATGTATCATCCATATCACACCACACACATATGTGTCATCTATAGCACACAGCACACATCTATACCATGTGTCCTTTGACGTATAGCTCTTGCACTCATCATAGCCCAGAGTCACAAGTCCTCAATGCAGGGACTCTTGAATTCAAATATATTCAAAGCACCCAAGGAGACCGCGAAATGTAGGCTGCGGGGTCTCTCCTGCACCCCAGAATATGACTGAATGGTCTGGAGAGTTTCCAGGGAGACAGTTTATAGCAATCACCTTGGTAATTGAGTAGGTAGAGCATGTGGACCCATGGTATCTCAGAAGTTGAGGACCCTATGGCATATATGAATCTCCTACAAGTGTCTGGATCTGAGGCCTGGAACACACACAGTAAAAAAGCCATCTGCTTTGATTGGTTAGCAGTAGCAGCAACAGAGAACATTCCCAAGTGGTTTTGTCAATAAGACATGAAATCCTTTAAGTAGTAATGAAATATTACTTAGAGTAACAGACTGAATGCCTAGTTCCTATAAAGGAAACAGATTCCTTAAGCGAAGAAAAAAATGACAGCTTAATTTTCTCTTGAGGATGCTTAATCTTTTAAGGATCTAAACATAGGAGAGCTCTGTGCACAAAAGAAGATGCTAATCATGTTTTGGAAATGTTCTTGATGATGGTTTGTAAACCCCTTCCTCTTGGGTGGCCTTAGCCAGAGGGTGTTCAAGGAGGGCTGCCCAACTGAAGGACACAATAAGGTCTGATTAGAGGAAGAGTTGTGGGTCCCTGTAGCTGTGTGGCAGAAGCCCACATGGCTAGAAGGCGAGAATGTGGCTCTCCTTCATGGTCCCTCTTATTTGTTGGTGATACTCACTGAATGTCCAACAGCACACAGACACATATACTGAACACAAGGCAGTTGTGCTCTTTTAATAAAGGCAGGAGATGGGCTCTGATTTTGATTAGCTTAGCTAGCCAAATGCAAGAACACAAGATGCAGCTATGAAGGCCAAGATGAACTGGGGAGGATGGTTCAGTCTGGTGGGTCATAGGAAGGCTCTGGATGCAGATGGGCAAAGCCTAAATCCAAGAACAGACTTATACAAGACCCTCTACCCAAGACTCAGTTCATGAAAACTGAAGGTGACAACACTTGCTCAAAGGGGCTCTGTGAGGATGAAATGCAGAGACTACTAAGGATGTGTTTGGTATAAGGTAGTATTCTACTGTGGGAGACAGGCTAGTGGCCGACACCTCATTAAAGCCCCCCTCCACCCCCCATAGCCCAATGCCTCGGACTCTGGCAAGGAAAGGAAGATTCCAAGCCTACGGACTTCCCAGACACCACTGGTCATCCTGTTCAAGTCTTCTGCCCGTCAGGCCCAGACTACTCTGTCCTGTAGTTTATGCATTGGATGAAAAGGCCAAAAGGGAACAAGCCTGTCTTACCAGAACCACTTCAAGATAGTGAAGAGTGAGAATCCTGGGCCAAGAATTCAGGAATCAAAGTGAAAGGCCTCAGAGGTGAAATTCAGACCTATCCTGTTCTTCCTTTTACCTCCTGAGGGAGTAGGGTACTTACCCCCTTGGGAAGGAAGGAAGGTGTGTCCATTTGGTCAACACCTCCCCATTTCCAGCTTGCTGAAGAAGGGCAGGCCCTGGCTGTGAAAGGGATCCCTGTCTGAGGAGCATGTCCAACTCCTGCCAGGATGGAGACTCCATGCTCCCACCTCCACCCCCACCCCCGCCAGGGACTGTGAATGCTAGCCAAAGACTAACCCTGGACTGTGGGAAATTATTCAGATGCTTTTGCTCTTTCCAAAACTAAAACAATAAAAGCCCTGAACAACACTCTCCCTTCCAGAGCAGTGTACAGAACCTTTCATCCTGACAGGAGTTCAAGAAGGCAGAAGTGTCAGGAAACCCTGACAGCAGATGGGACCATACACTGTCCTTTTTACCGAGTCACTTGGGGCTGCCAGGGAGGAAAAGGGCAAAGAAAAACACAAGTCAGGGTTCCCAAGGAAGGCGTGTAAGATGGCAGGAGTGGGAGAGGGATCAGGCTGATGCTTCAGGATGGGAACAGACTAATCTGGGAGCTTGTGCTCAGTTCCATAGAGGCAGCTGGAAGACACATTATTTTGGTCTCAAGGGTCCCACTGACTTGAGTGGAGGCGAAAGGTACCTTCCCATGTCTAGAAACCTTATGACTAAGAGTGGGTAAGGGAGATGAAGCCAAGTTCCTAGCTTGCTTTTTCGGAAGCCTAACTTTTCCCCTGACCCCAACCAAGCCACTCACAAATGTTCTCCTCCAATGCGGAAATATTGGGCTCCGCCTAAGCACTTAATTGTGTCCTTAGCAGTTGAGTCATTTTTTTCCCCATAAAGATTCATTTTTATTTATGTGTGTATCTTCATCTTAGTATGTGCATGTGAGTGCAGTGTTCATGGAGATCAGAAGAGGGCATCAGATCTCCCAGAGCTGGAGTTACAAGCAGTTGTAAGCCACATGATGTGGGTGCTGGGAATCAGAGTCCAGTCCTCTGAAAGAGTAGCAAGGAGTCTTAACTGCTGAGTTATCTCTCCAGCCCCAGTAGTCCAGTCTTTACCAAAATGTTCCAGCTGGGCTTTTGGGTCTCAGCTTAAAGACTGTCCTCTCTGCTGCCAGAGAATTGGCCTAGGTCCAGCCTTAGGTTAGGTGCTCACGTTCCACCTCCGAGCTCCGAGGCACCTCACCAGAGCTTTTATCATGTAAACTGTCATTATAGGCTCATATGTTTGAACTCTTGGTCCCCAGCTGTGGTGCTATTTTGGGAGTTTGTAGAACCTTTAGAAGGGGAGGTCTCATGCCTCTGGTGGGAGGTGGTTTGGTCTTATAGGTCAGCTCTATCCCATTTCTGTTCCAACTTTTTTCAGTTTCCTGATCCACTGCTAATGGGAACAGGCCTCAAGCTCCCTTCTTTGGTTGATAGGAGCTGCTCCTCCCACTGTGAATGCTGCACCATAGTGTCCCCACCAAGAAAAAGACTATTTCCTGATTAAAGGAATCAGAGGGGGTTAAAAAAAAATACAAGGAAACTGTGTTGTCTGGACACCACAGGGTATTTGCACATATGAAACCACAGCAATTATGACAGTTTGCATAAGACCTGTGCAAACCCAAGCTAGACAGGGGCCCCATATGGATAGGGGAGCTTCGCAGGAAGCCCCAGCCCTAGCTGAGGATCTATTGGCAATTGATAGATGCTGGGAGAAGGAGTCAGTTTTCCTTACTGATACAATGTCTAGTAGGTTGACCATACTCTTAGGGATAGACCCATACCCAAGAGCATTTAGCAAACACAGATTAGACTTAATAGGCCTTTAAAAAAAGACAAATAATAATAGAGGGCGTGAAGTCACAGAAGAGGGCGTGGGTGAAGGGGAAGGAGGGTCTGAATATGATCAAAATACATTGTGTGAAATTTTTGAACCAATAAAAATATTAAAAATTGCCAGGCGTGGTGGCACACACCTTTAATGCCAGGACCCGGGAGGCAGAGGCAGGTGGATCTCTGTGAGTTCGAGGCCAGCCTGGTCTACAGAGTGAGTTCCAGGCCAGCTGGGGCTACAGGGAGACCCTGTCCCCAAAAAACAACAACAACAAAAAATTAAAAATCTTTAAGTTGTGTCTATTCAGGTATTTCATCACAGCACTGGGAAAAGAAACTAGTACTTATTTTCTGTTTGTGACATTTGCACTCTAAGCCACCTAGCCTGGGACAGGGTCTAGGTAGGTGCTCAGTAAATATGCATGGAATGAACGAGGTGCTCTTGCCTTCCCTTTTGTCTTTATTTCTAGATAAAACAAGTGCTGCCTGAAGATTGTGACTAGCCAGAGGTGAGTTTGGTTCACAGGGTGTGGCCCTTCCTGAAATAAACACACAGGGCCTTCAGTATAGCTTTGGCTATCATTAGGCAGGGCATAGTTGTTCTGGGGAAACCATTAGAGAAACAGCTTTTTTTTTTCTTTTTAAGTGAAAAGTCTAGGATTTTGGAATGATTGAATATTTCAGAGGATGGCATGTCTGAGCTCCAACCTAGGCAGTTGACTACTGTGCTCACAGTTTCTGGCTGGGGTGATGATGGGGGTGCACAAATTCGTGCTGCTCAGAGAAGACACTGTAGTGAGAGTCTGGGGGAATGGAGAGGGAGTGGCTGGGATGGAACCCCAGAAGGAGAATGTGTCTGGATATGAGGGGTGAGTAACATCAGAACACTTGAGGGAGGGCTCCAAAAATGGCAAGAGATGTGTGTCAACTGGGAGGGTGAGTGGGAAGGCAGGTTGGAGCCAGACCCCTGTGCTGGACAGCTCCTCCCACTGTGGCCCTTTGGACTTCTGGGGTTCTAGTTGTTAACAAGCAAATGTGAGGGGCTTCTAGCCGTCTCACCCTCACATCAACACCAATCAAAGACTTCATCACCTTATATATATGGTCCATTATTTATATGGTCTCTAGCCTAGATTCTGTATTTATAATTCTTGGAGGCAAGGTACCCACACAGCCACTAGATGCCTGGGTCTGAGGGTCCTTTCTCTATGCCCCTGAAGGCATCAGCCCACCCATGTCCAGGAATCTTTCAGTCTCTTATATAATGACTGCACTCGGAGAATCTAGTAGGTTATTTCTTTTGTGTGATTTCTTCCTACATTAAAAGGCAGACTGAGCATATAATGTTAAAAAGCTTTCAAACTATCCAGAGCTGCGCAGCAGTACTAGGAATTAGCTATGCCAGGCATGGACAGTGGGTTCCTCTGGGATCTGACCTTTTTATACATCCCCCAGCAGTGCTCTCCGTCTAGTAAATTTTGACCCTGTGGTACCACACAAACTAAGTTTCAATTAATGACTACTGTAGTCTAGTTATCTCCAAGCTATTATTAATGGCCACACACTTGTCAATAGCAAGTTGTTAGAGACCAAAAGGATCATATCACAGAAACTCTGAGAAGCAGTAAAGAGTTTGGTTAAACCAGTTGCTACTCACCTCATGAATGAGACATTTGTCTATGAGCTGTAAATAGGAACTTATATTTTCCTCATCAGGTCTGGAGACCAAGAGCTGTGTGCACACTGTGAATTAAGAAAAGAAGGTGAATCAGAACAATCTATGCCATTCCAGCCTCTGAGCTCTCTCTCTGACTTCTTTTAGGACCAAGACCTTGTGAGGTACGTGTGCCTGTGGCATTACATAACGTTCACAGAAAATGCCGGGAGGCTCCTCATTCCACTGAAGTCAAATGCTCAGTCACCCCAGAAGCCCCTTGGGTTAGTTCCAGTCATACCATTCTATATTAAGCCTTCAGCCACAGGCCTGAAGGCAGATGCTCTGTGAGAGGAGAAACAGAAATCTTGGGCTTTATTTTCACAGGTGGTTCTGGGTGAGGGCGCATCAAAAGATTCTGAGTCTTCCATGGCTGTGGGAGAGCAGCTCCCGTGATTTTATGAATGAACCACACACCTCTCACCAGGTGGAGAGGCAGTGGCATTTGTGTTTGGGGGAACGAGGCTGGTGACATGTTTTAGCCGTGAGGTATGTGGGCAAGCACGGAGCGGAAACCTGCCACTGTCATTTTCTCAATGTGATGCACGCATTTCTCCACATGTGGCTTCACCTACACACTCAGGGATGTGCCAGGAAAGACAGGGCAGTGTTAATGTGTGGGTAGAGGACACACGTCTCATGGCTGTGTTCACAGCCCACTCAGCTCTCATCATAAAGGTCACCCACAAAGGGAGTCAGCCAGAGAGCGAGGGTGTCCATCACTCAAAGCACATCAAGCTTGAAAACTGGGCATCATATTTTGACTCCTTCCTCTATCTAACTCCCCTGCCACAAATCCTCATCATGTCTCTGCACAAAGGCTTTCAGTATAGCAAAGTTTGCAGCAAACAGCTAGAAACAGCCTCTTGGTCTATTGATGAGGACCCCGGTAAGTAATTTGTGGTTTATATAGACTCCTTCCTCTATCTAACTCCCCTGTCACAAATCCTCATCATGTCTCTGCACAAAGGCTTTCAGTATAGCAAAGTTTACAGCAAGCAGCTAGAAACGGCCTCTTGGTCTATTGATGAGGACCCCGGTAAGTAATTTGTGGTTTATATATACAATGGAATAGTATGCGATGTTTAAAAAAAGAATGTAATGGTGCTGTTTGTATTGACAGAAATATTCAAAGTAAATGTTTATGGGAATACCACTGAGCTTCAGGAAACAATCTTAAGACCTGTGTAAGAATGGATATTCACATGCTTGTGCATGATGATAAGGGTTCTGAAAGGATATTCCCAAATTTAATAGTGACCATTCTTTGGGAAGAGATGGCAGGGCTTGGTGGGCTGTGGTGTGGGGGAGGTGTTGCTTTTCATTTTCCATTGTTTAATTTGGATGATGTGTGCTGAGCATGAATTGGGTTGCAGCTTCTTACACAGTGGTTACAGCTGTGGTTACAAACAGAAGCTGGGCTGAGGAGTGAGGTTTACTGAGGGCTGAGCCATCACAGAACTGGAAGGTGAGGGAGGAGCACATGCCAGGCAGCTACCTCCCATGGGCTTTGTAGGGCTGCGTCTCTCTTGGATTCTCAGGTGGGGTAGGGAGGGGTGCAAGGGCCTACTCTGGCCACCAGTGACCCTGAGGAAGCTGTGAGTTACCCCTTCTGCTCCAGAGTGCAGTGAATTTAGGTCTTTCTAGATGACTTATATTGGAGGTGGTGCTCCTCACTTCATCGATAAGACTCGGATCCATTTCTGTGGGTGAAAACTTGGTTCTTTAAAATGGTCTCAAAGGCTGGAGAGGTGGCTCAGCTCTTGCAGAGGACCCAGGTTCGATTCCCAGTTCCCAGATGGAGGCTAACAATCGTCAGTAACTCCAGTTCCAGGGGATCTGATGCTCTCTTCTGACCTCCCAGGCATTGCATGACACAGGTGCACTTACACACATGCATGCAATACACTCATACACATAAAATAAAATTAATAAATAAAATGATCTCAAGCAGTGGAGGATAAAGGACAAAACCAATGCTGCTTTTTCACAAAGAAAATGCACTAGCATTCGCCACGTTGTTGTCCATGATCAGAATTCCCTGTGAAATGTGCACTAAGCACACGTTATTCAAAAGTTTAATATCTTCAAGGTCTTGTTTGTGAGGGCCTGAACCATGGAGAAGACAGGGGTTAGTGCAAGCAGGCAGGGTGCTGTGACCCACAGGGCTGGCTTAGCTCTATCCTCTACAAAGACATATGTACAGCAGGGTTTCCCAACAGCACATTATATGCAGAATCCAGGTTCAGGGTAAATGTATATATCAGTGCTGCCCCCCATCTCACGCACCATGTACCATGTATATATGAGTCACCTACTACCAGCCAGGTCCTGTGTGGTATCCAGTGGCTATTAAAAGTTGTCTGACAGCACTAGGTTAATGGGGGATACAGTCAAGCAAAGGGGTGATTACAATGAAGTATGAATTAATAAGACAAGGAGACTTAAGGGGCTGTGGGGCCCATGGGAGGGGTACCTCATGTAGCCTTGAGGCCCAGTCAGTCTGCCCTACCCATCAGAGGACTTGGTTGACACTTGGAAGAAGAGGAAGCAGAACAAAGGTGGAGAAAATGGTGTGAGAGAAGGCGTTTCAGGCAAAGCTCTCACATACAGATGTGAGTGTTGTGCACTGCATGAATGCACTCTGGGGTGAGGGATTACAGTGCTGTGTATACCCAGAATAAGTTCCTATTCTGTAATTCTGAGGCTTCTTATAGAAGTAAAGCCCTGGTTCCAGACACAGGGAACCTATGCACAATGACTGCTGAACACCAGAATACACAAGCTCAGACAAAGACTGTCTGGAGTGTAGAATGGAGGTGATGAGGACAGGTGCAAGGTGACCCTTTAGGTTTGGGCTTTACCAACTAGGCAAAGGGGAGCCACGGTATGGAATTTAGCTTTGCTCTACCTTGAGCTAGTAAGAAGGCCTAGTGGTAGTAACCATGAGGGTGGGTGGTGGAGAAGCTGTGGTTTGCCTAGCCCTGCCAGGAGCTGCTTCCATTTCTGTGGGCTACTTGGCTTGTGTGTCTTGGTTTCCTCCTCTGTGTTTGGGGGGATTAGCATCCTGGGGGGCTGCACAGAGACCAGTGTCTGATATATAGGAATTGCTAAGCAACCACAAGTCAACAGCCCAAAACCACCACAGCATCCTGGGAGGTGAATCAAAACTGAAGGGAGGATGTAAACCTAGGAGACTAAACAGACCAGCTGTGTGCTGGGAATTCTCCAGCCCATGACTGCCTGTCTGAGGGAATTTCTAGATGAGGGGGAAGCCTTGGGGCTTCGTTGGCTCTGCATGTGGTTTCCCCTGGGCTCTGGGCTCTGGACTCAGGTACCAGGGCTCCTGGCTTCCCACCAGCTCCAGCCCCTGTTGCTTTGGGGAGGGCCAGTGGTTGAGAGAGAGCTCTGTAATTGAAATCTTTTTCAGTGTCTGTCCCATCTTCCTCCCTGAGAGTCCAAGGCGTAACAGGCACTCTACTGGGCGAGCCCAGCATGCCTAAAGGGGTCCATAGGCTGGAGCCTGAGACCCCGTGGGGAAGCCTCTCTGAGCAGTTTCTTGTCTCCTAGAGAAGCTAATGCCACCTACTGGGACAGGAAGTTCATCCAGCACCCCTGAAACCCACAGGCTTCTGAGTTCTGGCTAGGGTGTCCCAGGGGGAAGAATACCTTTCCCCATGACGCGAGTGAACTGCCCAGGGAGGTCCCCCTCCGGCAGAGGGGCGACAGCCAGCTCCCCATCGCAGCTACTCAGCTGGTGTGGCTGCAGTCCGCCGCTGGCGCCCGCAGAGGCGCTGGCTGCGGCGCTGGTGGCGGTGGTGGTGCTGTCTTTGCAATTGGGGCTCTGGCTCTCGGGTCCCATCAGCGAGGGCTCCCGAAGGCGCGCCTCAGGGGTGGCACTTGGGGAGCTGTAGGCCTTGATGGGCGTCAGGATCATCTGGTGCAGCTCCTGGAGGGGGATGCGCAGGCTGCCCCCTTCGATGATGTCCTGTAATAGAGAGAAAGGACTTTGGTGAGTTCAGGGACCGCTGCCCGCCTGCACCGCCTGTAGGCTCTTCCCTCTTAGAGCTGTTCTCAGCACAGGGCAGGGAGGCTGGAATTAAACCCAAATGAGATGAGAGCCTGGGGAACTTTTTAGTAGGAGAGGGATGGCTTTAGAAAGATGGTTCTGGAGAAATCTATGTTTAATGTCTAATAGAAACTATACACATATGATTGCATGTGATACATACATGTCTTATGTAGTAACATTGGAGTACAGGGCTGGTGAAATGGTTCATTTGGCAAAGTGCTTGTAGTATAAGCATGAAAGGCCAGAGTTCAAGTACCCGGGACCCACATAAGAGGCTGGGCAATGTATACCAGTAATCCCAGCACTGGGGAGCAGATGGGAGGATCCCTGGAGCTCCCTGGCTAGTCAGTGTAGCTGAATCAGCAAGCCCCAGGTTCAGTAGGTGACCCCTCATTACATAATGAAGGTGGAGAGCGATTGAAGAAGACACCTGATGTCAACCTCTGACTTATAAACACAGACACACACACACAGACACACACACACCCCTGCATGCACACATGTGTATCTACATGAACACCTATACACACACTCACACTGGAATATAATTGGATTATTTTACATACATATTTTGATATTCTTAGATATTATTAGAAAAAGGAAGGAAAGTGGATTCTGGTAGGAATGTAGATTTTGGATAAGCCCAGGTGCCTGTGTTTGGGGTCTTCTTGTATGGTGGGTAGCCTGGGCCCTCCATCACTGTGTAGCCCCCAGTACTTATGTACTTCCAGCTCTCCTGGTATTCAGGAGTGACACTGCCTATCAGGGCCCTGATTACAAATGAAGCACTCAAATCTCCCGAGAGCCTGGACTAACAAGAACAAACATTTAAAAGCCTGATCACAAGAACTCAAACCATTCTTAAGATCCTCTCTTACTAAGATTGTGTCAGTGAAAGCAGACTTAAGGAACATGATCACTTTTGCCACCAACTTTTTCAATCAGGGCACCAGAGAAAGGATGGCCAAGGGTGACAGGCTTGGGCAGAGGACGCCAGCAAGCCCAATCCTTCTACTGGTGGGAACCTACCTTGTTGGGTGGGGTGTGTTTGTGTGGAAATGGAACATGAATTGTGATTTAGCCTAGTTGCCACAAAGGTTTTCTTTATGACGGAAGTGAAATTCTAATTAGCCACCAGAAGTGTCCCAAGCCTGGTCAGAGTCACTGTAAGCCCCTCTCAACTTTTTAAAAAAATATTTTATTATTTTTATTTTATGTGTATGCGTGTTTTGCCTTCACAAGTAGGTGCACCCATGTCGTGCAATGTCTGCAGAGGTCAGAAGAGGGCGAGGATCCCCTGGAACTGGAGTTATAGATGGTTTTTAGCTGCCATGTAGGTGCTGGGAATCGAACCCGGGTCCTCTGCAAGAGCAGTCAGTGTTCTTAACTTCTGAGCCATTGCTCCAGACCTCTCTTTAACTTTTGGAGACAGTCTCTCCCTTTGTAGCCCAGGCTGGACTGGAGCTCAGAATTTTCCTGCCTCAGCCTCCTGAGTGCTGGGATTATAGTCGTATACTACCACACTTGGCAAGACGCTCAGTTGCCTCTGAGAAGAGGGCTTCAGAAGAGAGTTCCTCTCTTTTTTGAATACAGTGGCAGGGGTGGCCAGACAGCCTCAGCCTGTGTGGTGAGCCCAGTGCATGAGTCTGCACAAGCTCTTCCCTCTTCCTAGCTTCCCTGCTTCCCTAGGGTACTAGTCTTTCCTGGAGTCTGGGGTTAAGCATGCAACTGCCACCCTTGACTTGATCTGAGCAGGGCAGGACATATGGAATCAAGCTGGTTAAATTAATCATGCTCAGCACTACTGCCTCTCCTGACTCACCAGGATAGCCTGGAGGGGGGTGTCCCTAGCTCCTGTTGTGAGTTCCCATCAACCACCCAAGCAGTGCCTGTGATGTGGGGGTTCCAATCTCTTGTCTTGCACATGACTGAGGGGATGGAAAATAAAGAAAATGGGATGTGGGTTCTGTAAAGGTGAACTGAGCTGGGGGGTGGTATTACATGTGGCCCTATAATGCCATCCCAGTGGACAGGCTCACTCAGGCAAACAAATGGGTTATTGAGACACTGTCACCTGCCATTGAGTCCTTGCTGAATCTTGCCACATGGCAAGAAGGCTCTGTACTTCATGGAGAGGGCAGGAGATTTGGGTTATACAAAGGGTTAAATTTGTTCAGCAGGAAACAGACATTCCCTAAATCTAGCCCCCATGTTACTTTTCTGTTGAAGAAAAGAAACCACAAGAAGCTGGTAAAGTGCTTGCCTAGCAAACTCAAGGACCAGAGTTCAAACCCCAGGACACACGTTAAAAAAATAAAACAAACAAACAAACAAAACACAGGCAGGGTAGTGCACATCTTTAATCTCAGCACTTGGGAGGCAGAGGCAGGCAGATCTAGCTTAACCTACTGGGTGAGTTCCAGGACAGTGACAGTCCTCAATAAGCAAAGTGAATGGAACAGGAGGAATGATAGGTTAGGTTGTCCCCTGGTCTCCATGTGAACCTGTGCACATGTACACACCACATCACACACACACACACACACACATACACACACACACACACACAGAGGGGAGAGACAGACAGACAGACAGACAGAGACACGCTCAGAGGAAACTATTAATATAACAAGTAATGTTGGATGCTTTCTTTTCTGTAACATACAGCTTTCCAGGAATTACGTTCAGAGTTTTGTTTGGCCTTGTCTTTTCTCATAGGCTTATAGTCACTGTCTCAAAAACAACACAACCGATTAGCCAAATCCCAACCCTCACTTACACCAGCACCAGCTGGGTGTCACTGTGACAGTGGGGCCACATTCCTGATCTTAACGGAGTGCCCACATTGAGAAGCAAGCAGGGAGAGTCTGAATGGAAGTCAATCTAGTGCTCTCCACTAGCTGTGGGAATTAGTTCTCTATATTGACAAGTCTCTGTCGATTCTTCATGCCCAAAATCTAATCCCACATTATAAATACGAAAGCAAAATGAAGCTTTCCAGTGAGGCATGCCAATTCAAAGCTGTTGAGCAAGAACTTGTCTGAAAGCAGATAACAAGAAGTCAGGGCCACTGTGGCACCCCAGGGGTTGCTCAGAGGATGAGCAGGAAGGAGATTACTGTTCAATCAGTTCAGCATTGGCCTTCTAGGCCTTGGAAGGAGGCTGGTTTGGTACCTTTCCTGGGTATGTGATTATAAGGTACAAACCATTAGAAAGAGAGCTTTGGGCAACCTCAGAGTTCCCAGCATTTATGTGACATGTCCTTGGCTCTATCCTTCCCTTTGGGTAGTAATAATTTGAACCTCTCATATTACAGAGGGCTTCTGTTTCTACTTAATCCATTCTCTCTCTTCCTCATCCACCAATCAGCAGCTAAACTCAACACCAGCCAGATACTGTTCTGTATTGGGAACATAAAAAACAAGTTCTCATCCCAAGCCTTGTTCCTGAGACCCACATAGTAAGATGGTGTGAGGGGATTGGAGAGATAGCTCAGCAGTTAAGAGCACTTCCTGCTCTTGCAGAAGACTTGGGTTTAGTTCCCAGCACTCACATGGTGGCTTACAACCATTTGTAACTTCAGTTCCAGGAGATCCGACATGGCCTCTGGCCTCCATAGGCATTGCTCACATGTGGTACATTTACATACATGCAGGCCCAACACTCATACATATAAAATAAATACATCAAAAAATTGTTAAAAAGATGGTGTGAGGACAGGAGACCAAGGGAACAGAGAGATAGGCTCCCTGGCTATGCGTGTGTACATACACACATGTACACATATGTACACACAGGCATCTTCTATCTCTTTATTCCACCTCAGGGTTCCTGGTTCAGAAAATGGTTCTGTTTCACAATCTGGGAGTGAGTTAAAAAGGAGGGATGATGTATAAACTCACATAGAGATTTTTTTCTTGTTAGATATAAATGCTAAGAAATCTCCCCCATCCTGAATTTTCTTTCTCTTTTCTCTCTAACAGCTTGAGAAGTCTACAAATCCTTACTCATGCCCTCAGCACACACTCATACCCCTGATGAGTGGCTGCAGTGACCGGCTGATGGCCAATGTACAGGACAGAGTCCCGTCTCCACAGTATATGACATTCCCAACACCTGCTGGGATTCTGTTTCCCTCTCTGAGCTCTCAGGAAAGAGCTCACAGCTCAACCTCTGTTACCACCAGGTCCTTTCTGATGGTGCTCCTTGGAGGCTGTTCTTCAGCCCGATCACCCAGCACACATCCGTGTGGACACCCACTGCCAATTACAGCTCACTCACAGCAGAGTCAGTCACATGTGTCTGTGACTCCACATTTGCTTTCTAGCCATTAACCTGCCATTTCTACCTGGGTGTCCCAGAAGTATCTCACTAAACTCAGCTCCCTTTCTCCCACAGTCCCCAGGAAGTCCTATGTTTCTACTCTCAAATCTCACTGTATCTGAGCTCAAACCTCCTGACAGCCGTAGGACTCCCTTTACATGACCTCTGTCATCCTTTCCCACCCTCATTGCCTCTGTTTGGGCTCATGGTCCTACCAAACCTGTCACAGTCTCCTCAAGAGCTCCCCAGCAACATCTGGTCCCTATACAGGCTTCCAGGAAGAATCTTTCATTGGCTTTGGTGATGACCCCAATCACCCTGGATTGTAAGATCGGCAGCCACTGTATCTGTCTGTCCCAATGCATGTTCCATGATACCCAAGGGCAGGCACCATGTATCACTCACAGTTATCCTGCAAGGACAGGCAAAGCGAGTCCAAACATCTGCTTAGCAAGCATTCAGCAACTGAATGGAAGAGATCCGAACATGCAGTCAGCAGCTTCTACTGATTATGAACTAGCTCTGGGCGGGGCCCCAACTATCTCCTTAGAAATGTGGGTTCTATGTGAGGTAAGAATGCTGGAGGCAGGGGCATGGTGATGGCATTTCCAATAGTGTCATCGGCCAGGCTTGTGGGACTGCCTCACCTGAGTCTGTCCCTAGGCCACCAGTGGTAACAGATGACCAACCGCTCCCTTCCTCAAACAGCAGAGGAGGCAGGATCCCCGGGAAGAAAGAACAGAGCCAGGGGCTCAATCCTCAGGGGATGTTGAAGAGGTGCCTCCTCATTCATAGGCTGTTGGTTCCTGAAGGCACTCAGGGTGTCAGAACACTGGGTGTTCTGAAGTTAGCCTAATATGGTCATCTGACAGGCATGGCTTTCAAAGAGAATGAATGGTCACTTCCTCCTTGCTTATCAGCAGTCATCATACATTTGGAATCTTTTAAACTTTCCCATCCAGAGGATCGCAGAGGAAGCATTCTTTGTATAGTCAACATTATTCTAGATATAACTCTAAGACACTGAACATCACTAACTTAATAAATGGGAAGTCAAAGGCACATCACTCACCACCCCATAAGACTTACTGATATCAGCCCAAGGATGAAGGAAGTAAGGCAAGAGAGGACCAAGCTTCCTTGTTCATAGAGAATGAATGAATTCCTAAAGAGTGCTCCAGAAATAAGAGGGGAAAACTTACAATTGAATCCTCATGCAAAACACTTTCTGTACTTTCTAACAGGTAAGGAAACAGTAAATTGGTCTTTTGAATGTTCTCTAAAAGAGAACAATTTCTTAGATTAAAAATGGCCATAATCACACTGCCAGACAAGCTGCTTAGCAAAGGAGTTAGCATAAAATTAACAACAACAAAATCCCACGTTCAGTTGGAGAGCTCACATGGAAAGTGTAATTCTCTTTAGTTAAGTGTATGCTTTAATCATATATGAATAGTCTTCATCTGTCTACTCATCTGGAGGTTTAAAAATAAATTTTCCTGATAAAATTTTCTATGCATGTATATTTCCAAACATAAACAATATGTTCTGTAGTATGCAGAAGTGTAACAACATGGAATGTGTATATATATATATATATGTATCCTTGTAGATAAGTTTTAAAAATTCCTATTCCATTAAACCACTTGCTTTAGGCGAAATTTTCTGTGGGCCTGCCTGGCTTAATACTTTGTCCTTTCCTAAAGGCTCTCTGGGATACCATGAGGCTTCCATTCATAATCTACAGTCTCAAATTCCTACACAACTTCCCTCCCAAGACCAGTGCACAAGAACCCTTGCACAGGGACACAGGTTGTATGCATGTGGAATAGGTCCTGCTGTCATTTGGACCTTAGATGAAAACATATAGTCAACTAGCCCTAAAAACGAGTCACTAAAATTATATCCAGATACAAGATGGGAACATGTTGGCAGCAGAGAGACAGTAGGCAGCTGCAAAGTGCTTTGGCCATTGGATTAAATAACATCACGAAGAAGGAGCTTTTGTTAGTCCGTAGTCATCTTTTTGTATCCATGAGGAAAATCAACAAAGAAAAGAACTTAAAGTCCACAGTTCACTCATCACTGTAGATTTATGTTAGGAGTCACACAGTTGTAAATTTTTTTCAGTATTTTACATTTTTGAGGTGGTTCCTGTCTGAGTCATGGAGACTTATCCTGTTGTGAAAGTCTGAAGCCAGGCTATCTGTTTGCTAACACTTTCAATTCCCCCGTGGAACCTAGAGTACACCTGTTGGCGTCTGCCATTCTGAGGACAGCTTTCTCTAAAGGAGACTCCCTGGGTGGACAGTAGGAACAAGCACATTAGCATTTCCTATGCTGCTTTGTCCGTAGCAGCCGTTTGTTGCAGGTAGAACACCTTGCCAGTCTCTAGGGCTGTTTACAAGACAGAGGTGATGGGCATGCAAAGGGAGCATTGGATGCACTTCACCCAAGGCATGGTGGGTCACAGCAACTTGTACCCAGGGAATTAGTGCATCTCATCATCAGGATACAAGGAAGCACGAACAGCCAGGCAGCTCTGTCCTGATCATTTCATTTTCTCTAACTTCAACAGGGAAGCCACATGATCCTCTGAGGTTTGACAGGTGACACTCTAAACTGATATTCATTGATCTGTGTTCCCATGAAGAAGGTAGAAATGTCCCCTGGCCCACTGTTCACTCACCCTTTCCAAAGACTTCAGGAGGTTTTGTCTTTCTTTGAGCTTCTGAATACTGATGACAATTTTGTGTCTTGCACCTTTGGTAACATTCTGTAATTAAATACAAGATACATTTATGACATCATTTAAAAAATATTTTATTTATTATTTTTATTTTATGTGTATGAGTGTATTGCCTGCATGTATGTGAGTGCACCCATATCCTGCAATGCTGCAGAGGTCAGAAGATGGCTTGGGAATCCCCTGGAACTGGAGTTAAGGGTGGTTCGTAGCCGCCATGTGGGTGCTGGGAATCGAATCCAGGTCCTCTGCAAGAGCAGTCAGTGCTCTTCTTAACCACTGAGCCATCTCTCCAGCCCCCAAGACATCATTTTAAAGGATAAGCTTAGAGACTCTCAGATGCTATGTGGTACTCTGTCTTTTTGTTCCTATGTGAGCACAGGCTGGCCACTATGTATTTCAGAAACCCCTTCTCAGTAAATATTCTGAGTCCATCTGGCTTCGCGCTTGCCCATGACTTTTAGGACAGGGAGACACAAAGCAGCCAATTATTCTACCCAGCATGAGATTTCTTCAGTCTTAAAAGATAATTTTTAGTTCAGACACGCTTCTCTTCCAGGCTGTATCATGTCAGTCCCTCTCAGTTTCCCTGGAGGCTCTGACCTCATCTATCCATTGCTTTCTCAATCCCTTCCCACGCCTGTGCCTCTCTAGAAGACGGAGCTCAGGATAGCCCACGTGTACCACCACAAAGGGAACTTCTCTTAGTTTGCAGCCTTCCTGTCCTTTCTATAATGAAAACTAGAGTTCACTGCACTCCAGGTAAATGTGCAGAGTGGTGGATTTTATCTTAAATGGGCGGCAGTAGTTGGAAAAGCCTTGTTGATCACAGTTACTGCACATTTCCCTGTAGAGGGTCCTTCTAATTCAATCTGGAATGCAAACTTCTGAGGACCTCTATTCTAATACAACCACTCCACAGAATGCTTCTTAGCAAATAACAGGATGAAGATGATGACAGCATCACTTCTACTTAGAAAAATCAAGATAAACAGACTCATGAAGGTGAAACCCTGGGTGTGTACTTCTGTTGAGTTGTAATTTTCAAATCAAATGAATTAAATCATTTGAAAAGTTTGTGTCAGGCTCTGGCTTTGCCCTCTGTGTCAATTCTTTCTTTCTTTCCTTTTAATTTGAACAAGCAATGACTTGGATTTTCTCTCAACTTTGACCCGAATATGAAAATGCTCTTTGAAATTGTTTCCTTCAGTCCCTGAGATCTCAAGAAGCAGCTGAGATCCAAAAAGTAGTGGGAGAAACATTAGGAAGTTGAAATTACAGCCTTTCATTCTCCGAGAATGTGCAGTGACTTTGGGCTTTGTCTTTGCTCAATTCTGGTATTCAGCCAGGCCTGCAGAGGGGGAACTGTGGGTACTGAATAAACAACAGGCAAGCAGAGGTCTGTGGGGAAGCATGCACCAGTCCGGCCATGCCCCAAATGCTGCGATCTCTCCTTCCTACAGGGGAAAGAGTATTAGCTCGTTCAGACCACTAATTCTTTCAGATCATTGTTCAAAGGAACCTGGCAATTTGAAATGTGCAAACTTCATTTTAAACAAGAGAAACAAAGACATTGGTCAGATCTCTTGGCTAGAGCCTGGCATGGTAGAAGCATTCTTGGTTTCAGGGGTTCTGTTGATTGGCCTTTGACATTCACACTTGGGGGAAGAGGCCTAAGAAGGAAGGAGGAATGTTGTCCTTTTATGACTTCAGAGGGGATATAAAATCTGAGTCCTGTGGAAATCTCACTCTCAATTGCTGTCTATGCTATTGAAGTGGTTAGAAGAAAAAAGTATTTTAAACAATTTACTCCAATTTACTCAACCAGGACCAGCTTGAATGATTTTAGGCAAGTGTTGTGGCATCTCTGAAGGATGTCCTGGTGTTGATATTGACTAGTTCAGTTGGAAGTTAGTGGATATATGACCAGACTGGATAACAGACAAGGGATCTCTCCCTACCCAAACAAGGCCTGGGTGGGCAGAGGGAAGGAGAGAACCAGGAGAGCCAAAGCTCTCGGGGGCCTTGGTGCAAGGTCCCTTCCAGGTGGTGCCACAGATTCTTCCCAAGTATCCAGAATTTTCAGTGTTCTTGGAGTCTACCTTGCCCTGACTCCCTTTCCCCCTCATTGCCCCATGGTTATCTGTTGATCTTCTATCTCCCACTGGGTTCTGCTAGGCTTACTCACCGTGGGATACCAGTTAGCATCTGGCAGTAGCTAAGTTATGGGTCCAAAAAGGTCAGTCTGGGACTTGAACTTCAAGTAACCCCTTCTCAGGAAAGGAATTCCCTCGAGTACATACCTGAGCCTCCAGTTGGCACTCAGTGAGGGCCATCATTTCCTCATAGGTCATCTGGGAGAAAAGCGCGGCATACTTGTGCAAGCGGAGGCTTTTTAACCAGGCTGGAACATCTGTGATGCATGATGTACAAGAGATGGGAGAGAAATGATAGGGAACAAGAAGAGGTGACCAAAGATGAGGGAACAGAGAGGGAAAAAGGGTGATGGTCAGAGGAAAAAAAAAAAGAAAAAAAAATTTGTTATTACTTAATTTGGGCAGCAAATGGTGGGCTCAGAAAGCTCAGGCTAGCCCTATCCTCCCCAAAGCTCCTTTATTCTACATTAGACCAGGGATTGCTAACTTGGGGTCCATGGGTTTCAGGGCATACAGGAATTCTCTAGAACATCCCAGCTTATGAGTATATGGATGGTTTTCTAGGTAGAGTCATCCACCGCTCCCCTAAAGTCACCAAATGGGTTCATCACAATAAACAAACAGAATGCAAAGAGCCACTGCTTTAGCTAGGCCCTTTCATTGTTGTTTTGGAAAGAGCTGACTTAGAATGATGAAACTAGACACATTAGTCTATACCCTCAAGACACTTCTTTTTTGGAGACTTAATGCATATCTTCATATACTATGTTTGCCACTTTCAGAGTCAGGAAAAATATGCAGCAATTCCAAGCCTGATACTTCCTCTGCCTCCTTAGGTCCTAGTGGGGTAAAGGGCAACTTAAACTACCAGTATTGTCCCTGCTGTGGGATATCTGCTGATCATTTCTCCAAGCTATGGGATGTATTGGAACATGTCTTTGACTTATTCTTTGCATGCAAATCTGAAAGATATCATGACATGAAGGGTCCAAACACTGGCCAGACCACAGGATAAAGGAAATTCTAAAGAACACCTACCTAAAGCCCCAAGTTTGGGGTTCTAGAGCTAAGAAAATTACTGGATTGAAAATCCAGAGTCATTACCTTGTTGATTATAACCAAAATGAATCATTTCCCCAGTCTCTTAAGTCAGAGTTTTTGGAGCTGATAGAATATTTGAAAAGTTTGCAGAACTATCTTCTACCCATGATGATTTTACAGATATCATTAAATCTACATTACAGAGCAAGTTTGTGGTCAAGTGGGCACTGAGCTGCAGCTCTTTCTTACATCATTACAATTCTAGGAAGAACCAAAGAGATCATCAGCCGTAGAGCTAGGTAAATAGGAGATTGCAAAGTACTTTGTGATACTAAGGCACTGAGTAAGTGCCATTCGTGTCTTCTGTGACGTATTATCTATCACTAACCACGTGGGCCACAAGATTCTGTACTATTGATTACAAAGTGTTTTATTCTGAGGTACTTATGAGCCACACACATTCCAAAATAATTGTGAAGCTTCCAATTTTCCAATGTTTAAAGTAGCTAACTAGGGCTGATGGAAGATGCTTAATCAACTCTGAAATCAGGCTCTGTCTCATGGGTGAACCAAACCAAGGCTCAGGGAATGCAGTTGGGGGTGGGGGGTGGGGCGATGACTGGTGATTGCCTGAAAGTCAGACATAGGAAGTGATTGTGAGCCTGCTGAGGGCACTTTGTGCTCTGCAGTAATGTGAAGACCAATGACAGGGAAATTCTGAGAATTAGACTTGCACATTCAATTAAGAACAGATTCAGTAGTTTCAGACAAGAAATTACTTCATTCTGTGGTTGGAAGCCCTTCAATCTACTGTGACAAAAACAGAGTCTCTCCAGGATTATCGTTAACCACACTGAGATAAGGCTTCCCCAGGTGCATAGTGCTAAGCCCTAATATACTCAGTGTAAGCCACTTTAGGATCTTCAGTTCAGGATAGACCAGCTCAGGAGTCTATTACTTTCCCTGACATGACATTCTGGAGGTGTCCACCATGCTTTTGCTTCTGTTGAAACAATGTCAACACGTCTGCAGCGTCGGCAGCTGTGTTAACCACAGCTCTGGTTTTCAGACCAACTACATGCCACCAGGTTTTGTGTTTGCTATTCATATCTTTGAAGTCCCAAATAATTTCCCAGAAAACACAACAGCCATGATTCAGAGGAGTCTAGGTAGTCCAGTGTCACACTTAGATACAATTTATCCCAAAAGAGCACAGAGCAACCCTGTGGACCTGTTTCATTTTAACCAAGTATCTTAAAGCTTAATCATTCAAAATCCACTGATGGTAAGATGAACAAAATTCTCAGCTACCAAGTCATGCTGCGAACTGGGTGCTTTATAAGCCAAGGTGACGATAGGGCTTCTTAAAGAATCAGGTAGTATGAGGGCCAAGTCCTAGGTTGGTAAGTCTCAGTTCACTCAGGGCTAGTTCCTTTCTATAAAACAAATTGGACAACTAGAAATCCTGGGATAGAAGCATGGAAGAGCCTATCCCACTAGTCAAAATGTAGGTCACTGGGTGTAGTTTTCCTGGAAAAGTTTACTACCACAACAGGATGAGTTAGGCCTTCCTGAAGAGTCATTTCCAGATATATTCTTGGGAAACGTAAGGCCCTTTGACCTTATGTTCCTTAAGGTAGGCAGCCTGCTTGTACAGTGCCTAGCTCAGAGCCATGCACCTAAGGAGCTTTCCTTCATGCAGCCAGGTCTGTTGAACAAAGAAGAGGAAATGTCAGTTCTTAAGAACACAGTCTACTAGCTGCATAGGAAGACCCTGTCTCAACCACAACGAACCCTGAAAGAACAACAGAGAAGAACATGGCCTACCAACCATTTTCTGTCTGGTTAGTGGAGAATCCCTTGCCAGAGATGAAAAGAGAATACCATTAAAAGGGAAACACAGAGACGTGAGAGGCTGGACTGTATGATTATCCTAAGTCAAGAATTCTAATGACTAGGATGCTGGATTCTGTGCAATGTTGGCTGGAGAGGAACGCTAACCAAAAGCTTAGGTCCTTTCCAATGAGCCACATGTCGTCCTGTTGGATGTAATGCTATGAACCATCTTAGCATCTTAGCATCCTTTTTCTATCTGCGAAGCTGTGGCTATGGTTGGCAAATGGAAGAAGCAGAGTTACCCAGAGAAGTGGAAATGTCAGTTTGGCATACATACCTTCAGAGCACAGCTGTTTAGCTTCATCTAGGCTGCTCCTGTTGGGCATAGCAATGCAGATCTCAAACTAGAAAGTCACTCTCTTGTGCAATGTGAGAAAGAAAAGATACCTTTGCTATATGCTAGGCAGAATTCCTTCAAATGTGGGAATAATGTTATTTATTCAACACCTACTAGGTGCTTTACAGAGAGGTCAGGCTCTCTGAAGGCATGCCCTCGCCATCAAATCCAAAGAGCATGAGTGGGTCACATACAAAAATTATAATAGCTGCAATGCAAGTGAGTGCTTGGGTTTGCTGCAATTCAGTGCAATACAGTGAGCCCTTGGGTTTGCTGAAGGAGTAGGAGAGCTGCTTGCCCCTTGCTGCTTGGAATATGACAGCAACTTGGAGTCCACTGGGCAGACCATGTTGTGGAGCTCCTATCTCACATAGTAGGAAGGACAGAAACAAACAGCAGAGCCACAGAGCGTTTAGAGTAGAACAAATGCTTGGTGGGTGGTAGAAAATGGCTAGAGACAAGGTGGGCACACATAGGTGGGGGGGCAGATGACTGAGTTATGAAATGTCAAAACAAGGAAAGCAGATTTCACCAATGAAAAGCTGTTGAAATCTGTGCACTAGAAACAGTTAGATGATGTGTTAGAAAGATGACGGCTGACCTAGAAGATTAGTTGGAGGATGGTGAGAAGAGGCCAGGATATGAATTTAAGAAAACCTTGAGGATGGCTTGGGAGGGGTGATAGAGAAACGAAAGGATGGAAATGGATGCTACTTGGAGACCAGAAAGACCATTGAAAGAGGGAGACAAAGGAACTGAAAATGGCTCCTTTGGCTTAGGTTTGGTGAGAGGGAAAACAAGGGAAGACGTCAGAAGTCTAAGACTTGGTTTAGTCATGGAAGTAGGTGTGGCTACTTAGGCAAGGAGCATTGAATGAGACTAAGATAGAGCTGTGGTGGAGCCTTGGGGTGGCTGGCTTTGTGGGGAAAGTGCGGGAAGAGAGGTCAGAAAGTATTACCATCCATGTGCTTAATGGAGGCCCTCATGTTGGATAGTCCCCATCATTCCCGGAGCCTCCTTCTAGCTCCTGCTACAGTCCACACTGGTTTATCTTCTTAGGGCTAATTTTGGATAACAGAGCTACGCACCCATCTTGCATATGTCCTGTATCCACCTGTAGCTTTAGCGATGGAATCTAAGTTGAAACTCTGCTCATTTCTATTTCCTTTCAGAGTTTGGATACCTTGACCTCAGAGGGGCTTTGTGTGATGTACAGCAGCTGACATAGAAGCTGGGCTCCAATAGAACTTGGGCTGCTTTTCTTTTATGTGTGCTGCAGATACCAGCCAGGTCAGCAAGCCGTGCAGCACCCAACCACAAATGGGAGGTGGTCCCGGGAGAAAGACAGGCTGAAAGGGGAGGATATTAAGGCAGTTCATTCTCTGGAGCAGAAACGTGCATAGTCATCTTCCCACAAGGGAGATCACGTGCAGTGCTCTTGGTACCTGCCAGTAGGCATCAACCCCATTATCCATGGAGAGCCAGGCTGATCTCACATACCTTTCTCTCCAAGATCACTTGCATTCGTTTTTAAGGGAGTAAGAAAGGCAGCAGGAAGGCAAGGAGGGACCAGTGATTCACTGTTAAAGGGAAAGGGAAAATGACTTCTAGCAACCAAGAGCAGAAGTTTAGCGGCGCCACCTAGCTTGTCTTTATTTTTGGCTAGAGCGGAATGAAGAGCCTGATTCTGTTCTAGTCTCTGAGCAAAAGAAAATTTGCTCTCTGGGTCCTTAGGATCTGGGATTCTCTGGAGGGAGCTCCTTGATCCTGAAGACTGTCTAGAGTGCTTCAGGAGGACTCCCGTCTCATGCAGACATATATGAGTCTTGGAAAGCACAAATTTGAGGTAAAATACTTCAAAGGATTAGATGCAAACCAAAGGATTAAATTTCTTCCTGGCAATTCCATTTACTACAACATTTCTAAGTGCTGTTCTTCACGTAGCCTACTTTGTATCATTAAATAGAAGCTGAGGTCTACATT